ACCCGCGTCCGATCCGGAGCGGCGCCCTCTCTTCCCCCCCCTTTCTCCCTCGCCCATGTTTTCCCAGCCCTACCCAATTGAAAGCCGCTTGCATCCTTCATGTTACAAGTTTGAAACCCACCAGCTTATCGACCTGTACCAGTAGACTGCTGCTGTCAAAGTTGTTCGCTGTCAAAGCGGAGTCGGAACGCCCCCCACGCGCCTTTGCATCTACAAGCAGGGCGTGGGAAAGAAAAGACCAGATGAGTGGACTAAAGCTGAGCGCTCTGCGAGTATATATCAAGCGCGTGCAGCCCCGCGATCTGTTGCAGCTCAGCAGCAGCGGCAAAAAATCAAGTCTTTTTTTCCCGTCGTACACTATTTCTCCTGGCAGAAGCGGAATTGAAGCAGCCAGGGTATCATTCTCCTCTAGCTGTGCGAAGCGTAATAATAAACGACAGAATATGGCGAGCAACGTTGAGAAGAAGCAGGACGGTGGTGCGTGGATTGGCGTCAAGGGCGCGGGTTCACTTGATCTACGCAGTATGTTTTTTTTTTTTTTGCCCTTTCCTTTTTTTTTCCCCAGCAGAATGAGTTTTATACACCCAGGGGGGTTTTTTGATGCAGAGAAGCTAAACAGTTGTAATATTTTTTGCAGGTGATGTCATGACGGTGCCGACGCCGGCCATGCTGGCCGCCGTGGCGAATTGCTCGCTGCGCGACGACGTCTTCAACGAGGACCCGACGACGCGCGACCTCGAGGCGCACGTTGCGCAGCTCGCCGGCAAAGAGGCCGGCCTCTTTGTCACGTCTGGGACCATGGGAAACCAAGTCGCCCTACGGAGCCTCTTGACGCAGCCTCCGTTTGGCGTGCTGGCGGATCATCGCTCCCACATTATCCTCTACGAAGCCGGCGGGTAAGTGCTTCTCCTTCTTCTTCTACTCTCGAGACATACACACACGCACACATTGTAACCATCTAACTTGAAAAACTTCCCCGCGCCGCAGAGTCTCGTCCCTCACCGGCGCCACCGTCAAGCCCGTCGTCCCCCGCAACGGCGTCCACCTCACCGTCGAAGACGTCGCCGCCCACGCCATCCTCAGCTCCGACGTGCACGCCTGTCCCACCCGCGTCATCAGCCTCGAAAACACACTCAACGGCACCGTCATGCCCCTCTCCGCCGTCGCCTCCATTGCTTCCTTTGCGCGCGCTCACAATATCCGACTTCACTGCGACGGTGCTCGTCTCTGGGAAGCCGCCGTCGCCACATCCTCTTCCTCCACCTCTTCTACCTCTTCCTCTTCCTCTCCTTCCGCTGTACTCGCCGAATACTGCTCCCATTTCGACACCATAAGCCTCTGCTTCTCCAAAGGTCTCGGCGCCCCCGTCGGCAGCATCATTGTCGGCGACGCCGCCACCCTGACGCACGCGCGCTGGGTGCGCAAATCACTCGGCGGTGGCATGCGCCAGCCGGGCATGCTCGCGGCGGCGGCGCGCGTCGCCGTCGACGAGACTTTTACCGGCGGCTTGCTGCGGGCATCGCACGAGACGGCGAAAAAAGTCGAGGCCGCGTGGACGGCGCTGGGCGGGGGCACGCTGGTGCATCCCGTGCAGACAAACATGTGCTGGGTTGATCTTGAGGCGCACGGCGTCAGTGCGGAGGCGTTTACAGAGGCGTGCGCCGAGGAGGGACTGAGGGTGTCGGGGGGCAGGCTGGTGACGCATTATCAGATTGCGCAGAATGAGGCAGAGGTGCTGCCAAGGCTGGAGAGGGTGTTTAAAAAGGTTTTGGGAGCGCAATCGACGAGTCAATGAGGCTTGCCGACAATCAAGTAAGAGCAGGGTAGACCAATTCAAAAGACGGTATACTTCTTTCTTCTATATATGTATAATAGCAGGGCTAAATGTGCTGACTTCTAAACTCGTAGCTCGTTATATGACGCTCTATACACTGTGTAACACTCTATCCGTTGCCTCACCAATCTACACGCCTTCCCAATTCTCATCACGCCAGTCTATCCCTTCTTTACCGAAACCCATTCTCATGACTTGCTGTTTGTCTACACCTTCCCCGACATTCCCCTCAAGCACTCCTCGTACCACGCCAACGCGCTCCTCGCCTCGTCCACCGTAAACACGCCATCATCAAACCCCAGCTTGACAACGTACTCGCCCTTGCTCGCGCCCTTGACCACCTCGAGCTGCATCGCATAGTTAAAGTGCATCGTGTTGCGGCTCATCTTCATCACGATCCACCGCATGTGGTCCTGCCCGCTCGCCGCCGTCGTGTCCACCGGCTCAAACGGCTGGAAGCAAAATAGGCACTTGGCCGCCGCCGCGTCCCTGTCCACGCCCAGCGCGCCGTAAATCTCGTCGAGCGACACGAGCCCATTCTCCGTCGTCCGCCAAAACGACGCCTGCGTTTCCTGCAGCAACGCCTCCATCGGCTTGGCGTCGTCGACGCTGTGCACAAACGGCAAAAAGTTGGCGCAGTTGCCGTTAATCAGCTGCGGATTGTCGAGCGGCACGTTGCGGCCCGTCACGAGATTGTTGTACACGACGTGGGGGGAGCCGCTCAGGTGCGCCAGAAGCAAGCCATACGCCGTCTGGAAAGCAATTGGCGCCGTCACGCCCGCAGCCTGTGCAGTCTCGTCGACGCCAATCTCCTTGCCAATCTTGGACAGCTCCCACCGGCATACCCTGGGATTCGTCGCACGGGCGGGGTAGTCGAATATCTTGTCCTTTAGCAGGCTCGTCCAGTAGTCAAGCTGCGGTTGCTTGGGCGTCTCTCTAATGTGCCCGATAAAGTCGCGAAACTCGGTGCTGGGGCGGGGCGCAACACCTCGGTTCAAAGCCTTGAACTGATCGTCAAAAATGTGCAGCAGCGTTCCGTCGTACGACGCGTGGTCCAGCTTGATGAGAATGTGGCGGGTGCCAGTGGCCGAGTTTGTAAGTAGTGTATACCGCACAAACGCCTTGGCCGGATCGAAGCGAAGATCCCACTCCGCCTCGACAATAGCCTTGAACTCGGCCTCTGTGGCGTAAGACTGATAGGTCAGGTTTAGAGTTGGCTGCTTGAGGATGACTTGCACCGCCGTCGCCGTGTTGCCCTCCTCGCCGTAGACGTACATCGCGCGCAGAATCTGGTTCCGTGCTGTGAGCATCGTCGTCAGCTCGACCCAGCGGGCAAAGCCCAGATCTTTTGGAAGTTCTCGTATAGTCATGAGCTGCCAGAATTGTTCTCTCTTGTTGCCTTGCGTGAGGAACTCTACCTGGCCAGGGCTGCAGGGGTAGATGTCTTCAATATCTTGCTCTGCAACATCTAGCTCCTTGAGACGCGTGTAGATTTCTGGCCCTGGTACATATATAGGCAGCTCTTGCACCACGCCTGCCTTGTCTTGCATCCTGTGCTCCTCGGACAACAGCTTGGCTTGAATCTGCAGCGTCTGAGCGGAGAGCAAGTCGTTGACTTTGATATCGAAGCCTTCCCTACGCAGCAAACCGGCAAGATTGAGAGCAGAGATGGAGTCGCCTCCCAGAGAATGAAACGTAGTTCCGCCATGAATGTTCTCCACCGCGACCTCGAATAGGTCGGCCCATATCGATTGCAGGACAAGCTCCTGCTCACCCGACACAGCAGTTTTTTCCTCGCGCGGGAGATATTGCTTCAGACGATCCATCGGCATCTCCTCGACCATCTGTTGCAGCCGCTTCTTGTCCACTTTGCCGTTGGGCGTGAGCGGCCAAGTCGCCACCGGGAGCCACACAGTGGGCAGCATATATTTGGGCAGCGACGTGAGACGCGCCGTGATGTGGTCGGCTGCAATAGCCTTGTCTGCGGGTAGCAGGATGTCCTCTCCCGCATGTGCATCCTCATCCGAGCAAAATGCTACGATTTGCTTCTTCTTCAGGACGGTGGCCATCACAGTTACGCACGTCTTGAAAGAGCCGCTTTTGACGATCGAGGCGTCAATCTCCCCCAGCTCGATCCGGTAGCCATTGAGTTTCACCTGGCCGTCTTTGCGTCCGTGAAGCTCGACCTCGCCGCTTGGTAGAAGCCTTGCCAGGTCGCCAGTCTGGTAGATTCTCTTGCCGCCGACGAAGCGAAACGCCTTGGCCGTGGCGTCAGGCCGCTTGAGGTAGCCGCGCGCCAGCTGGGGGCCAGATACGCACAGCTCACCGACTTCGCCATCCGCCACGGGTTTCATGGTGTCGGGGTCGAGGATGGCGGCATGCGTAGACTTGAAAATGCGGCCGACGCTGCGAGGGTTCATCCCGGGCGTCACGGTGCTGGTGCTGATGCAGATGGTAGCCTCTGTCGGCCCATAGACATTATAGACAACCACACGCGGCGCCCACACGTTTAGGATATGAAGCGAGATGGCCTCGCCGCCAGTCATGAGGACCTTGAGGTGCGGTACGTCGTCTGGGTCGAAGAGGGTGCCCATGGATGGCGTGATGTTGACGCGGTCAACCTCCATTGTGTTGATCAAGTTGGCTAGGTTGGCGACAATGGTGTTCTGGGGGGCCACGCACAGAGTTGAACCGCTAGACAGCGCAGAGAAAAGGCCGTCGAAAGATCCGTCAAATGTGTAGTTGAGAGTCCATAGGATGCGAAACGGATTGTCCCTCAGATTTGTCGTGTCAATGATGCCCTCAGTCGCAGCCGCTAGCGCCCCATGGGTAATGAGCGTTCCCTTTGGCTTGCCGGTGCTCCCAGAGGTGTAGATGACGTAGGCAAGCGAGTCCGGGTTCAAGCCAGGTGTGATGGGGCGTTGAATGGGCAGACTGTCCCAGTCAATATCGTCCATAACAATAGCCTTGTATGGGAGGTTGTCAAAAAAGGACTTATTCAGGCTGTCGGTGATGACGTGAGTTGCTTCACAGTCATCGAGTATGCCGACGTTGCGATCTCTAGGGTTTTCTGGGCCAAGGGGTAGCAGAGCACCGCCAGCGACGAGGATGCCGAAAATGGAAATAATTGTGTTGATGGATTTTTCCATGAGCATCGGGATGACCTGTTCGAGCTTAATGCGCTGGGAGCGAAGGATACCAGCGAACTGATGGATTTTGATTGCGAGACCTGCATACGTGATGTCTTCTCCAGAAAGGTCACGGACCGCGATGCGTGACGGGTGCAAGGCTGCCATGCGCATAACGGCAGAGAAGCCGAGATCGGGAGACGTGTATGGCCACGATTGGTCGAGCATTATCTCGTCATCCGAGGTGAGTGATGGCGCCGCATCATGTACGACGGTCGATGCTGGCGTAACGACACGCGACATTTCAGAACTAGGCAGCTCAGGCTCGGAAAGGGCTGTCATCGGTAACAGCTCCTTGACAGAAGTGTTTGGCGTCTCGGCACCCCTTTGAAGTACATGAACTACCAGGTCAACCAAGCTCTGCGCAAAGCCGCTTTCCAATGTAGAAGCCAGCGTGATCCGATCCGGGGTCTCATTGTTCAACTCAAGTTTGGCATGCTCTACCTCACCGAGATTCATAAAAGGCAACTCGTAGAGGCCACCAGTCGTGCTGGGGTGCGGGACTTTGATCAAGAAATTGACCATGGAATCAAACAGGTCGCGGGACTGGCCGGTGACGTTGAAAATCGTGCGCAGACCGACATGAGCGTGTGCGGCAACATCCCAGAGATTTCGCTGGACGTGAGCACTGTGCGAGGCAAAAGAGCTGGTGCTATCAACTCGCACGCGCAGAGGCGCAATCATCAGTGTTGGTCCGGCCATTTCCAGGATGCCTGGGACAGGTGCATCTCTACCAGACAGAGTAACACCCATGACGACATCATCGGTGGACTGCACGGACGAGAGGACGAGAGACCATGTGGCGTAAAGCAAGACACTCGGCGTGATTTTTAGGTTGGATGCCGTCTTTTTCAAGTCCATCCCCAGCAACGCCGTCACCGTGCTTTCAACGGGTGTGCGGTGGCCCAAGGACTCGGAGCGCGCTCCGTCTAGATGGCTCTTCCAAAACTCCTTTGCGGCTGCAACGTCTTGTGACTGCAGATGCTTGACGTAGCTGCTAAATTTACCTCGCATCACGGGGGCTCCTCCAACAAGTATTGACGACAGATCCTGTGGGATGAACTGGTTGGACCAGTAGTCAAAGAGGGCGTGGTGGCTGGTGATGACCAGGACCTGGCCGGGGAGGATGGCAGCCTGCCACCAGAGTTCTCCTGCGCGCATGATATGCGTCGTCGTGTCCCTAATGTATGTTTCAGCGTCGATATCGGTGGCGATCAGCGGAAGCATCGCCGTCTTTTTGATGACTTGCACAAAAGACGTGCCGCGGGGGACAAAAGTAGTCCGTAACAGCGGCTGCGACTCCATCAGGGACTGCAGGCCACGAGTGACTTCCTGCTCGCTGTATCCACGGAAACCATAGGAGCGGCTGTAAACATAAGTTGTGCCGCCTAGGATGGCATTGGCAATAACAGCCTCCTGGAGCGCAGTGACTGGGAACGCATCTTCCACCTCGGTGACCTTGATTCCCAGGAGCTCCGCGGACGGCGTCTGTCTGAGCAGGCTAAATGGCGCGGGAGCCTGTGAGCCTGTAGATACCGCCTCCTGTCGAGCGAGCTGGGCAACCTCGGCTAGGGTATGATCCAACACCATGTCTTCCACTGCCATGGTGAGGCCATGTTGCGATTGCAGACGCGACACGACCTGAATGGCCTCGAGCGACGTACCGCCGAGCGAAACGAAGGAATCTTGAAGGTTTACCGCTTCTAGTGGAAGTGACAAAAGTTCCGACCAGAGGGCGCGAATAACAGCCTCTGCATGGCTAAATACGGCATCGTGAGCCTGCTTTGCGCCAGCACCACGTTCGAGTGTCCCCGCACGTGCAGACTCCTCCACCATGTTTCTTATTCCGATTACATCCACCTTGTCGTTGGCATTCAGTGGAAGCTTGTCCATGGGAACCCAGAAAGTCGGCATCATGTATCCGGGCAGTTGCTCGGCAAGATACGAGCGCAGCGTACGCACCGTGTCGGGCCACGCAGTTTTATCCTCGGTCGTCACGACTGCAGCAACAAGAACAGTTTTGTTGTTGATTATGCAAGGCACGACAGCAGAATGCTTGACAGACTCATGCTTCTGAAGAAACGAGTTTGGCTCGGCGGGGTCAACTCTCTGGCCGTTGATCTTGGCTTGGAAGTCGATGCGGCCAACCAGCTCAACCGACCCATCGGCGTGGCGCACCGCCATGTCTCCTGTTCGATATATTTTTCCATCGCCAAAAGGATTTGCGACAAAGCGTTTGGCCGTCTCCTCTGCCGCGTTGAGGTAGCCACTGGCAACTTGCGCACCACCGAGGCACAGCTCGCCGGGGACAAGCAGTGGCGACAGCTCCATTGTATTGGGGTCAACAATATACGACGTCGTCGTGTCGTATGGCATGCCGATGACGCGCGCGCTAGAACCAGCATCCGAGTGTAGCCTGTGTCGCCAGTTGAGTTGAGTGCACTCGCTCAGGCCGTATGACGAGTATAGCTGGACCCTGTGCCCCCAGGTCTCGACCACCGCGGGGCTGACCAGCTCGCCGCCAAGCACCATGCGTCTCAGCGTTGGCACCTGGTCGGGCGTGATGAGCGCCGCCGTCGTGGACGTCATGTCTATCGAGCTGATGGCCATCCTCTGTATCGTGTCGGCCAGATTCACGGTGAAGCTCCTCTTTTCTGCCAGGCAAAGGCAGCCGCCCACAGTGAGAGTTGCCCATATAGATCGCTGCGCGGCTGAGAATACAGGGTTGAAGAAGAGCAGCTGGCGTAGACCCTCAACACGGGGAAAGCACGCGAGGCCATTGTACGCGGCCCGGTGGTCTAGACGGGCTGCTTTGGGTCGACCAGTCGAGCCAGACGTGTAGATGGCGTAGGCAACATCAGTTTGCTGCTGGACAAGGAAGAGGTTGCTGGTGTTGTGCTGGTGGGATAGCGTGCTGATTTGGTTAATTTCGTATTCAGCAGGGAACTGTCCGCGTGTTTCTTCGTCCACAAGAACAAAGTCAGCCGCGACGTCCTCAACCATCATGGCCTTGCGCGAGTGCGCAGCGTCGACATCGAGAATGACGTATGCAGCGCCAGCTTTTAGGATGGCGAAAAGGGAGATTATCAAGTTGATGGATGTGCGCATGTGCACGGCCACAAAACGAGGTCTATATTGCAGCAGATGTCGCGCAAGTTGATTCGCGTGCTGATTTAATGTAAGATAGGACACTGGTTCGTCATTTTCGAATTGCACAGCATCTGCGTTGGGTGTGCGCAGCGCCTGTGTCTCTATGAGCTGGTGCAAAAGGCCTGTTTGTGCAGGTACGGCGGCCTTTGCGTATTCGTGTAGAAGGAACTCCTCGACGGGTGAAATCATACGCACGGCAGAGAGCTTAGACTTGACGTTCCGGGCAACATGTTCCAGAGCGGCGACAAAGTGCTCGAGGAGTAGGCGCGCATCAAGTTTGGCGAGTCCTGCGTCATGGCGCATGCTCAACTTGAAGAGCGGCGATGTGCAAATATTGATGACGAGCGGGAACTTGTCGTCAGTAGACATGACACTGTTGTGTGCGAGCGCCGGGTCTTTGCAGTCTACGCGGAGCTTGACCTGTGGTCGGGAGGCGTCAGCGAGTCGAAGGATCTCGTCATGGCCGAGAACCCTATTCGCTGCGGATTGGTCCGCCACGTCGGCCACATGGCGGATATGTGACAGAATCGATGCATCTTGAGAGACGGATACAACAAGCGGTAAATCGTGTGCATCTTCATCAGCGTCGGCACCTTGTGCATCGAGGGTAGTCCTGCGACCTGGGATGGTGAACACCACGGCAGTTTCTCCTGCGGGTGAGATTGTATGCTGGGCAGCGACAATGGCCCAAGTTGCATACAGCAAGTCGTCGAGGCGTAACTTGAAGCGGCTGCATAGCTGAACGGCCTGCTCGAGCAGGCCGTCCGGGACGACAATGGCAGTCTCGGAGCGGGGCCAGCTGTGCTCCAAGGGGAAGCCATGCAGCACCGGCTGCGAGGCTGCGAGGCGACGGAACTGATCCCGCCAGAAGATGGTTGCATCGTGGGCATCAACACTGTCATGACCGGCATGATGCTGCTGCTTCTCGGAGATGGATGGCACAGACTTGGCAGTGACAGAGCCGAGCGGCCCGACGCGACGGGGGAGATGGTGATCGGCCGTCATATTCCTGGTCGATGGTACAATGCAGTAGATTGGCTTTGTAATCCGAGACACATTCTGCCCCAAGATACAGCGCAGTCTTCATCTTTATTCTTCAGCATCATGGGCAGTGCACCTCCCAGTTTTGGCTTTTTCCCGAGTCCCATTGCCCGCGAGGTCAGCGCTTGAGCTTGCGCAAAAAGCAGTCTCATCCTTCCAAGCCAACGCCGTGGGTTCAGCTGCGTCGTCTGACAGAGTATTGTCGATGTTGTTTTTCTGTATTGATGATGCAGATGACATCGGGCGGCCGGACGAAGCCGAGAGGCAAGCCACACAACGGGTTCGGCGTCGAAGGGTGTGAAGATTGATCGTCGGGCTGACCTAGGGCGTGGGCTGTGGACTTTCTATCGGCACGCCCATTGGCGGCAACGCTAGGCTGCTTCTGGACGGCACAGCTTGGTCTGGTAATGTTGCTTCGGCGGCACGCCCAACGACAAATTTGGTGCAGCAAAAAAAGAAAAAAAATTAGCATGAGGATAAATGTAATCTATTGAGATACTCTATTACTAATGAGTGCTAGCAGTACTTAGGCTGTTTGGCAGTCCAGTTGGGTCATTTGCCGAGTTGGTAGCAATGGGACGGTTTGGCAAAACGATTCCAAGCTTCATATCTGATGAGACCCAACTTTGAATTGCTAAAAGAATTACAACTAGGTTTTAATTAAATCTGTTATTTCTCTTCACGAAATCAGTAGGCTTATTGTGGTAGCCAATTATGTAGCCAGGTATCACCGCCAGTTTGACGATGTGTACTTGTTGTCTGCCAAAAGTATTCTCACAAAGCCATGGCATCCTAGCCTTCACCATTGCTCACATGGACTACTACGGCGGAGTAATTAGATGGAGAAAATGGCAGACGTGAATGAATGAAACCGACAGTTCTATGACAAAGGTTTCGTACTCGTACAATTAAAGACGGTGAAATGTGGCAAAATGGCAAGAGTGACACTAAACACCCATTTTCTCACATGACACAACCTGATTTCGCAGTCAATCGATGCTAATTACATCCATCTGGGTATCTGCTTCAACACGCCCATCTGCCGGCCTAAGCCGCTCCTTCCCTCGTAGCCTCACACTTTACATGCCGCCAGCCCCATGACCAATAAACAGCCTCTCACGCTTCATTAGCAGACTCAGCACAGTCACCAACACGCCCGCGACAATAACCAAAATATACGTTTTGCTCTGGGCATTGACAATGACGGTCAGAATCTTGGCCGTCATCTCGGGGCTCTGCTGGTGCAACAGCTCCGACTTGGCTCCGGCAATGGTCTGCGCAATCTCCTTGACGGGAACGTCGGGCAGTAGTTCGTGGATCCCGCGCTCGCTCTCGTTGAGGAACAGCGCGTTGGCAATGGCCAGGGAGAGGGTGATGCCAAAAATCTGCGCCGTCGAGATGAAGCCAATGGCCGAGGGCACAAGCTCGGGCTTGACAACGGCCTGGGCGACCGAGTACGACGCCTGCGCAAACATGCCGACACCGAAACCGACAATGACGGTGTACCCGTAGACGTTGGAGACGGACGTGGTGAGGCTTACAGTGTACAGGAGACCGCCGCCGATGGACACCAGGATGCCGCCAACTAGGTACCAGGGCATGTACATGCCCCAACGCGCCAGCATGGCGCCATTGGTGGTGATGGTGAAGATGACGAGGAAGACAAAGGGCAACAGACGCACGCCCGACTGCAGCGCCGAGTCGCCGCGGGTGAATTGAAAGTACAGGGGTGCCATGTAGATGGGCAGAAAGATGCCGCAGCCGCCGGCGGCCGTCATGACAAAGAGGATCAGAACCGTGCGGCTGCCAAAGAACTCGACCGGGCAGACGCGACGGACAGTGTCGGTCCAGATGGTGTAGACCTGCTGGAAGCCGAGGATAATGAAGAGCACGGCCGAGACGCAGAAGAGGGCAATGATGCGCGCCGAGTTCCAGGGATACGTGACGCCGCCAAAGGAGACGCCCATGACGAAGCTTCCGCAGGCTCCAATCATGAGAAGGACACCAGCGTAGTCAAACTGGCGACAGCGGTCGAGGGCTGACACGCCGGGGCGGGGGTCCTTGCTGGGTAGCATGAAGACGTAGACGGGAGCGCACAGGCCGCCGATGACGAGGTTGATGTAAAAGGCCCATCGCCAGCCCGCCGACGAGTCGGTAAAGGCGCCGCCGATGATGGGGCCGAGGACGGTGCCCAGGCCCCAGACGAGGCCGGTGCCGCCGACGTAGACGGGACGCTCCTGCATGGTGGTGTTGAGGGCAATCATGGTCATGAGGCCGACGTACATGCCGGCGCCGGAGACGCCGCAGATGGCGCGACCAATGATGAAGGCGTCGACGTTGGGCGCCGCGCCGCAGATGGCCGAGCCAATCTCAAAGACGAGCACCGAGAGCAGATATGTCCACTTTGCGTTGAACTGGCCGTAGACCTTGCCCCAGACGAGGTTGGTGCTCGCGGCGCCGATGAGGAAGGCGACGCTCAGCCACGAGAGCTTCTGCACGGCGTTAAACTCTTGCACAATGACGGGCTGCACGTTGGCCACAATGGTGTTGTCGAGGGCAAAGAGAAACTGCGAGCTGTAGATGGCGGTGATGACGAGCGTCCACTTCCAGCCGGGCATGTCGCGCGGCGGCGGCGGCGGCGGCGCAGACACAGCGTCTTCCGACTGCTGCTGCTCTGGCAAGCCTCTTTCCATCTTCTTTTCATCGAAGTCGGGCGAATGCTGGCGAGGCAGAGAATCGCCGCTCTTGGCCAGGCTGCCAGACTCGGTTTCCGTCTCCATGGTTTTTTTTTTTTTCAGTCGATCGGTTCCGAGGTCAAAAAACGTAAATGAAAAAAATTGGTCGAGAACTCGAAATGATGAGGAAAACAAATTGACTGTGGCCTATAGAAGAGTTCTTTTCTTAAAAAGACGACATGTGGTTTGTGTGAGGTGCAGTTTTTTTTTCTTGGGTGAGCTTTGTATAGGACAAAGATGAGGTTTTGCAAGAGTGAACAAGGGGGGTTTTTTTTTTCGAGGCGTTTCCCTTGCTTACAATACCCTGGAAGCAATTTGTCATCGTCTAAGCTCTTATTTTCTCAATCTGGTCAAATATGCTCTTGATTTTCAGCATGGGCGGGCAAGGAGATCGCAGTAGCAACATCGTCAAAAGGGGGGGGCGTGCGGCGGTAAGTGGTCCGGGTGTGAGGCGATATCGAGTTGGGGGCGGCCGATGATCTGCTAAAAACGAGCAATCTCATCGCTAGTGTGCCGGGGCTTGTCATCTTGGCCATGCGTTCTATACCCCTAGGGTGGCGCCAAGCCACCAGGAGTAATTATAGCATAGAACAGAAAAGCAAGAAGCACAGGATAAGCTTCATCAAAAGTATAGAATAAAATCAAGATATGCTTAATATGCAAACTGAATAATAACAGATACGTATAACAAGGCATTGCGTAAAGTATCCATTATTCTTGCTTATTTTTGGCATCAGCCCTACCTCGAGGTAGAGTGGCCGACGCTCTGTCCATGAGCTCGCTATCTGGTGGAAAATCGAGGGTTTCCCATCTCATTCAGCATCTAAGATGACTTGATGACCATGGCATCCAAGACTTGGCGCTATCAGTGCCAATATTTCCGTACATCGTGACTGTAAGCGCCCTTTAGCCTGACAAGGCTGATGCCCAGTCAGTCAATGTGTCAGGCGTAATGCAGCGCATCAGATGCTAAGCCAGGGATGGCCCAAAGAAAGGCTCACGGGAGATGAGATTATTCTTACACATGGGCACCCCATCAACACAATTTGCCATGACTAGTTACCCCTGTCCTGATTATTTACCAGTTAACATAAAGTAAGAAAAAAGACCATGACCCAAAAGCGGACTAGCGTTAGCGCCGGCGGTTATTAGCGGGGATGCCATCTCCCCGGTTTCTCAGGGTCCTAGCCCAAAACAGACTAGCGTCACCGCTCGCCGTTTGGTGCCGAATCTCCATCTGGCATGATGTTGATGATTAATCTGCATCAAGTGCCTTTCCACGCCAATCTAGGTGGCATGTTTGCTTACTACATTCTCATGATTTTTTAGTTTTCCACGAACCACAAACTTCAGCCGCCATTATGGCGCGACGCATTCTACATTGCTTACTCGGGCGGCATGATGATTGCAACAACTCTTCGAAAACCATGGCGGCAAGAAAAGAGAAAAAAACATCTTGATAAATGCCCTCGATGGGCCATCTACATCAGCCTCGACACCATCACCAGTCCGGCATTCATTCACACCTTGACCACTCTTCCCCTTCTCAGTTAAACAAAGCCCCGAGTCGTCTATACCAACCTCGTCTCGCATCACCAAACCCAAAACCCCAAGCGTCATCATGCATCAACAAGGCCACTCCATCACCGACGGCAAGCCCCTGGTGCCCCCCATCGACATATGGAACGCCGACGCCGAGCACGACGCCAACGCTGAGCTCTTGCGCAACTTTGAGATCAAGCGCAACGTCTTTGCGACGCTCGCGCGCTCCCCAGGCCTCTTTGTCCCCGTCATGGAGCTCCTCAAGGCTCTGCTCAGCGGCGACACGCGCAAGATCCAGATCCTCGACTACCAGCTCATCGTGCTGCGCATGGCCAGCACCGTCGGCGCCGAGTACGTCTTTGGCATCAACGAGCCCGTCTCGCGCTTCAACGGCATGGGCGACGACCGCATCGAGGCCCTGCGCAAGGGCCTGCCTGCCGCTGAGCTCTTCGCCATGGGCATCTGGTCCGAGCGCCAGCAGTGCCTCATCACCCTCCTCGACGAGTCGCTCGCCACGTGGACCAACACCCCCGAGACCATAGCCTGGGCTCGCCGCCTCATGTCCGACGACGAGATTGTCGAGGTCTTCATCGTGCTCGGCTTCTTCTCCATGGTCGCCCGCATGACCATTGGCCTGCGCGTGCAGGAGGACCCCCCTATCCCCGACCTCGAGAAGCACATTGCCATGCGCATCACCAAGAACAAAAATGCAGAGTGAGAAGCTGGAGTGCGGCCATGGTCATGAAAGTAGCGCAGTCTATGAGAAATGGAGCAATGTATCAACACAAACCGCGAGCACTAAACATCTAGGTAGAAGCAGGTGGTAGTGCGCATAGCGAGGCGACATGTAGGGATGAAAATGGATCAGCACCATTTAGTCTAGGAGTGAATACACCAACATGAGCCCAAGAGCACAGAAAATCCGGGTAGAAGCAGTCTTCGTGTGCCCACTGACATGATCGAGACATAAAAGCTTTGGTAGAAGCTAGTGTCGTATGCCCACTGACATAATCGAGGCCAGAAAAGCTTGGTAGAAGCAGTTGTTTGTGCAGCCATTCACATCATCGAAGTAAAACATGACGTCCATCCTGATCCATAATGAATGCCCAGTCGCAGTCCTCATCCGAATTGCTCCTCCTTGACCAGCAATCCTTGATAATCCTGCACGCCTCTGTCCAAGTTCCATTCGTCGCGTCCCACGACGCCGTGGCCGAGAACAGGAGCCGAAACGAGCTGTACTGATCCTCCGTCGCCAGGCAGCCCGCCACGCAAAACGGCCACGAGAGGCTCTGCAGCAGCACAGAGCTCCGCAGATCCATCAGCGCCTCAAGAACCGCCGCCACGGCCTGCTTAATCTCCGGCAGGTGCGGGTGCGCCCCTGACAGGATGGAGTGCAGGTAAATGGTGCCGGCCAGCACATACACCCTGTTGACTGCGGGGTGTGTTGGGCGCGCCGGCAGCTCCGACGACGATTCCCGCGATAGCCCGGCTTCGGCTGATACTCCTGTGCTCCCCACCATTTCCTGGCGCAGCTGATCTTCGATTTTGGCTCCGCGTCTAACGAGGTCAACAACAGACAACTTGTGGGCGGCTTGCGCATCTTTTTTCCAGCGCTCCAGTGCTGAGATTTGGCAGATGAGCGCCATGGTCGAATTGCTGCATCCCATCATACTCTGCACAGAGGTGCCTAGATTCTCGAGCTCCTTGACGTGGTCAATGTCCAGAAAATGCTCGCCTCGCGTGGATGCGGCGGCAATGATGTCGAGGGAGACAAACGAACCGAGCATCACGCAGCATGCTCGACCAAGCTCTGGTGATAGTCCCGCATGACGATTCTGTTTGCGACTGCACATGTCGTCACCCTTCTGAGGCGTCGTGGACTGTCGGGCGGTAATCAGCGCAGGCACTAATGTCGCTGCAGCCCGTAGCAGATCTTTCCAGTTTTCTGTCCCGCCCATGAAACCCTATGACGGAGTCGACATTAGCTCGTAGTTTCCCGAGATTGTTTCCTGAAATGGGCCACTCACCTCCAAAAACAGTAATTGCAAAAGTGATGTCAACGCCTCGATGCTCTGCACTAGGCTCGTACGCCCGTTGATGCCCGCCATAATGTACCGCATCCCGTGGATGGCCAGCTCATAGTATGTCGTTCCCGCACGCCGTCGCGCCAAGCTGTTGGCGATACCGTTGATATGCGGCACTGTTGCCAGGAAATGACGCTCGCTCTGCGCCAGCGTGGCGTAGTAGGCTGGCTTTACGCGCCGCAGTATCGAAAACAGCCAGCCCCGTTCGCGGCCGTCGCGCGACAGGTAGTACGGGTACTGCAGATAAAACACCTGGTCTAGAAAGTGCATGAATATGACATCCTCGGCTTCTTCCTCGGGCACCTCTTCCTCGGACGTGTCCTTGGCTGGTTGCCATGCGGACAAGGCCGCAGCGGCGACTGGCGCTTGTTGCGTCACGCTGTTCTGCGGCCCCGTGGCTTCGCTTGGCAATGCGTATCCTGCAGACACGTCGTTTTTATGAAAGGCTGTGTCGAGGAACTCATCGAAGCCAGTCAAGATGTCTCCCCATGACACCTCTGCATCTGAGAACCCAAGGAGATTCGAGGATTCCGGACCGGATGTGTCCGCAAAAAACGCTGAAGACATGGGACCGGATCCCGCGTCCATGCTATGGTAAAGACCTGTCGAGTTAGGCGAGTAGTCGTTGGAGCCGCCAAAAAAGGGCGATGCCGACTCGGTGGTGATGTCGCTGGATGGTGCCGTGCTCCATTCGGCCGGGTCAGCCACTGCCGCCATGGCTAAATTCTGCGCGTGCATCTGCTCAAAGCTCAACTCCGTCGGCGGCATCGCGCAGGCGCTGTGCAGGTCCATCATGTTGGCGGCAACATCCGCCTGCATGGCGCCAAACGCGTCATGAGGGGACTGGGCAATGAAGACGGTCTGGGCGCGTTGCCTACCCTTTTTGGCCTTTTTCTCGCAGACAATCTGCTTAAAGAACAGCGCCTTCTCCCTCTGCCGGGCGCCATTATCCATCCAAGCGGGCTTGTGGCCGTAGCCGTGGCATTCTAGGTCTAGCGACGCGCAGGGCGTGCAGACGGACCTGCGCTCGTCGCACTTTTTGCGTCGAACGCGGCAAGTCCAGCAACCGTGCAGGCTTCGAGCCGCTAGGGGTGGGAAGAGATGAACGGTTAGCTGACGGCGCACGATGGTGGCGGACGTTGGGAGATGATGGGGGGCTGGCTCACGTACCGGGCTTTCCAGCTTGCTGCATGCCGACAACCATGGGCAATGACTGAATGGATGAGGGAAGGTGGCACTAGTCGTCGCGTAGAGAAGGATGGCTGAGAAACAGAAACCCGGAATGTGTGCAATGGGATTGCGATGGCGCCGCTGTTATGAACGTCGAAAAGCCTCGCCAGAGGCAAGAGACAAAAGAATCTGGTCAGACGGGGAGATGGAAGCGAGCGACATGTCTGATGTGGCGTTTGGTGGCGTACGGGCGCTGAATGATGGATAGTAAGTTCATGGCCCCCAGCCAGCAACGACCGTCTTGAAGTGGCCAAATTCCTCATTGCCTGATTCATGATGCTCACGAGTGGATTGGTGGATTCTCAATGTTTTCATTCAGACGGACGAGAAAACGAACCATGGCCAAGGAATTTAAGCGGTAAAGGACGCCAGGCTGAGTTGCAAGTCATTTGTTGCGCCGTCAGCCCAGCGCCACGCCAAGAGCCTTGTATCTATCTACGGCTTTGCCATGTGGCGATGCCACTGTTCTACGCACACGAAATTCGGACATGTTACTGACGATCTATCTATTCGAAAATTTAGACAGACACTCGATCCGGTCAAGATTCTCGATTTCGCCCACTCTCTTGCTGGGTTCTGACCATCCAGGGTCTCTGCAACCAAGTACGGTAAGTCACATTTGGTGGCTGTGTAGCACAGCACAGTAGTACGTATCAGTAATTCGGTAGACTATTTGTCCGATGGACAGAATCAGTCTTCAGAATTCTTCTTGAAAATGCCCCCAATGCAGCAAATTTTTGTCAGTCCTGCCTCCAAGCCAACCTTGGTTCGCTGCAGCCGGTAATGATCCTGTCGTGAACGGCTAGGCCAGGAAACTAACGGGAACAAATTCGTCTTGGAAAAATATAAACATGCATAATAAAAGAACGTGTCATCTCTGCACCCGCCCCTTGCTTCTGGACGATTCGACTCAGCCTGTCGTCATCACTGTAACGTGTACCTGCGTTCCAGGCTAGCAGTGCAGGATATGCGACACTGCACCTCGCCGATTAACTTGTCTAGGTAGCAACGCGATTCAGGATTCAATGGCCCCGTGCAATGTAGTAATACTCTATCCTATAGACAGGCAATAAATGACTAAAACAACATATAAATAGATGAGTGGATTTGGATCCGGTGACATCTTCGATACTTGTTGACTTTGATATAGCTTCAATTGTACTTTTACAACTCACAAGTACCTATATCTGTGCCTACATTGCCTCTGACTTTCCGGTATTCTAGACTCGTGCATCAAGAGACAAAGACTTGTATGTAAAGCACCTAAGCTACTACTTAGACGTTACATCTGGCGACCTCCAACCTGCAAAGCGCCACGTGTAGAACCTAGATCTCCTCTACGACGATCCTCCAATTAGCGCTGGCGTAAAGTACGTCGTCATAATGCCCTCGACACCAAGGCCCCTGGCAGTAGCCTTGAACTCGCTGTGCGCAGGGCATCCGTCGTCGTAAAACTTCATGTCGTCCATGCTGGCGAATTCCGTCTTGCACACCAACGTGTACCCTTGAGACCGAGGGTCCTCTTCCGTAGAGCCGACAATGAGGGATTTGATGTACGGCTTGCCGTCCTGTAGCACAAGTGATAGCAAAACAGTGTGTTAGCTCAAGACGTAGAGAGAGAGACAGCGGCGCACACGAGCTCGGGCCAGCAGAGCACCAAAAATCGGGGAAGCTCGCCAAGGCTCACAAGGCAGATTGGGCATCATTGTTTATGGGCAGTCATGGGCGAGAACTTGCCTTTTGGCTGGTCTGGTCGACTTTGGCGTAGGCGGCAATCAGCTTCGCCTGGTTCTCCTTGTCGGGGATTTTGAACATGGTCACCCGGTGCACGCGGTCAGCCATCCTTGCGACGAATTTAGCTTGAACTAGTCCAGCAGGTTATTCTGTAAAACAGGATAGGCGATGCGGTGTTGGTGATTGTCCGCGTCGAGCTGGTTGCAGAGAGGGTGGATTCTTTCGACTTGGTCGGGCGGGTGGCCGCAGATGTAAAGGGCCAATCTGGTGGTAGAAGGGGAGAGCAGTCTTGATAGCTGATACGAGCTGCCAAGGTTATTCTGCAATTCTGGTGCAGCTAATAAGTACCGGAGCGCCGCATCATGGGTAGCTGTGGAAAGCTCATGCGATCCGACCCCTGTCATCATTGTGACTAATTGCTCCCGTGCATCCTTTCCATTTCTCCGACATGCCGCGTAGGGCTTGGTATGATGAGACGAGACGTAAATCGGCTGGCGACGGCTACGCAACATACCCCGCGCGGCTTCTCGCGATGCGGATGAAAACGGAAAAAATAGTCCTGCAGGCGTCAGACGACAAAGGGGGGCGATATTGTGGCGGCTGATCAGCCATGCATTTCGAGGGCGGCAGTCGAAGAGGCTTAGACATCGATCTAGTGTGGAAGAGGGGGTACTTTGACTTGATGCAGCAACGGCAACTGCATGATAGGTTGCTCGAGTTCATCGTACGCGCCACCGAGATGCAACGGATTCTCGGCACCCGTGGCTGAGCTTGGCAAACGTTGCGTGTTCGAGAAGAATGGCCGATTCTTCATGGCGATGTTGGTAGTCAAGATGCTTGCTTTAGCGTTGCCGCTGTAGGTGACTCCCTCGGCTGCCCGCCGAGCGATGCGCATTGTTCTTGTTGCGCGCCATCAAGCTGAATGATGACCGTAGGCGGAGCATCTACTATTCCATGCCATGTTGCCACTTTTGTTCATGGAGACTTTTCACGGGCATACTTAGCCGACTAGTCGGGTACTGGCCTCTGGGAAGCTGAGGCTAACGAGGTTTTGCACATGTTTTTCCGCCTCCTGTGAGTCAATGTTCAGCTTTGAGGCGGTCTGCACCCGGTCGCAAAGCCACATCTTACATCTTCAGTAGTTCTTGGAGCAAGCCGTCAGCCTTTTGTCACCGGGCGGACCGCCGTGCTTAAGCGGACCGCCTGATCACCGCCTGATCAGTGCCATTGTTCCCCTCCAATCTTGAGATGATAACTGGCCAGCTGGGGAGTTGACGTTACAAATGAGATGATTGCTGACTAGTCGGGCTTCGGCGCGTGGCGCAGTGATCGACAAAGAGGGGAGGGGGGAGGGGTGGTTTGTCAGATGAATCTGTGCAGATCGGCGGCCGTGTAGATGGGCGCTTTACCTGATGAATACGAGGGATGCGGTCTTGTATCGGTGGCCGAGTGAAAACCCGGGAAAATGACCTGGTTGCCTCTTGTGTTGCGCATCTCATCAGCGAGGTCGACACTAGTATGCTACTCATCGCAATCAACGTCTCATTCCGCTGGAAACGTGCGAGCGCACTTGGTCGACCAAGACAGTCAAGGCATAAGACCGATGCAACCAGAATATGTACGGTGATCAAATATTAGAGTATCTGAGGATGATTTCGGTTCTGAACCATGGCGCGTAGTAGCCTAAGCTGTTGCACGATGCCGCGTCGTGAATGTGCGCTTGTGGCCTGGGATTTCTGTTCACAACATGCGCCATATCCGCCGCACGCAGCGTTTGCATTTTGTTCTTTCCCTGTCAGATACAATGATTCTTATACTATCGAGAGGCTGTGTGTCGTCTCTGACTCTACACAGTGGCCTGTTTACGGCGGCAATTCGACTGCGGCGACAATTCGGTGTCAGGCCCTCGACCCAGGATCGCGTCATTCAACTTACGTGCTCACGATACTTTGATTAAAAGCTTGTACGAGAATTGTGATTCCCGGAGTAAGGTATTTGTCTCCTACTAGATAAGTATCGAGCTGTTTCTTTCGCTCATGACTTATCAGATGGTTTCTATTTAGATGGTGTTAAAGCTAGCTCGCCAGTGGTGACTTGACCTCCAATCCGTTCACCCAGATTGCATGCTATCCTCTACAGAATACCAGTGGTACCCCGAAGTGATATCCATATTGCTACCAATTTTTTTTTTGATGCACGGGGAATATGTGAATACAATCACGAGACGTGCAAATCACCGCGACGATCTCACAAGGTCCGGCCTCGACCCAACGGATTCATCGAAATCTTCATATACTGAACGAATGGTGCAGCAGAAGAAATTACAGAAGTAATCAAAACTACTCAGAAATCAATTCAATGTTGCATTTTATGAATTCGACTTTACAAGAAGAGCTGGCGTTTCTTCGACGTCAGACTTGCTGCCACTTGCGCACCATGTCGTGCTACACAAACATGGCAGCGTTCAGCCCTCAACTCTGCCATCACGCGTTGCCGTGCTCATTTTCCCTACTCAAAGCATACAGATACTCTGTTTGCATTCAAGTAGAATGTATCACTTTGTGTGCTACTGCCAATATCACGCCTTCTAATGCCTATATCAACCTTTGTCCCCATAAAACTCTATTGTCCTGATCGTTTATGCACCAGTCTCCTTGTCAAAGTCGTCCCAACTTGCCACATAGTTCTGAGCACCTAGATGTGCCAATGCCTCTCCAACATTTGTCGCCTCAAACTAGCACCGGCTCCCATATCGACAGGCTGACGATGACGTCTTGTTGCACTCTCTCCTCGAGTCTCGGCCGCATGAATTCGATAACCTTGCTATGGCAAAAATTGGCGCACACGAGCTAGGATGCTACAAAAGTCTTTGAAGTAGCCGCTTGTTGTCCCGTCATCTGGACATTGGCGTTTGTTGACATTGTAGTCGCTTGGCTAGCTGTTGACACCAAAAACTAGTGACACCCACTTTCCGTCGTCATCTAGATTACAAGAATGGGTCATGTCCCGACTACTTCTTGTACATTAGCCTGCAGTTATATTCAGAAAATCGAACGGGAACTTTATATAAATAAGGCTTCGCAGTTTGTATACTGATGTATAGCCTCGCAAACAATGACCATTGGCATCGTGTGATGTAGTGGGGGTCAAAACTACCCGAGGGTGTGATTTGGAGGGCCATTTCAGCCTTTTACGGAAGCCCGGCTTATGACTACCACCTTGAATGGCTCTGCCTGTAGAACTTGCATTGTATTCTCGATATACTCCTGCGACGATGTCCAAGTTCGCTTCATTTCGGCCAATGCGAAGATATGCGGGGACGCTGCATCGAATGATGTGGCATCTTGACATTGAAAATCTTTCAGGGTCACTTAGGATCTTTTGGAAATAAAAACATACTTTGTCTGATCTCCATATGGGAGGGAGCGTCATTAGCACCATATTCCTCAGACAAATGCATCACCATCATACGTGGTTGCCTTGCCAGCTTCTCCATTTATCAAAGTACTTTTCGTCCCTAAGAACCTCATCCAAGTACCCTCTCACAGAAGAAGTGAATCTCTTTTTTTTCTGACGTCATCAAACAACCCCCCCATCAATTCTCCTATTTTTGCTTTCGCATTCCCAGTTTGTAACGCTCCATCATTCCAGTCGTAGTCCCCCCCCCGGTATGACAAGATTCGCGCAAAAATAGTTGGAAAAGCCCCCATTCAAACCGACCACGACGCGCGTTCCTTTTTCGGTTTAGCTCCACATCACATGCTATACTCTTTTAGGCACCTCCTATAAACTGACAGAGCGTTACTCGTCAGGCTGCAGGTGTTGCCGCTTGTGGACCGTGGTTGGCTCATTCGGTTCGAGTCATGGGGTAACGAGCCAGGGGCCAGGGGCCAGGGGGCCAATTGGGGCCATTGATTCAGGTACCCCGAGCTAATTAACCAAATTCTGGAGCCCAAAAAGGCGCAGACAGCGTGTCGAATCCATCGACAGCCTCGTTGGACAAGCCCGCCATGCCGCATTGCCGACACGTCGCACTCGGTCACACTCAGAAACCGCAGCCCGATTTCAGCGATTTACTCATAGGTTTCTTTCCTCTTCTACTTGGGAATTTTTGTGATTCCCGTTTCAACCAAGTTTGGCGTCTTCATGCCGGGTTTTGCGTTGTCGAGGAGAACACAGAGCAGCAACGTGGTGGTGGGTGGGCAACGCCACGCGGCCAATAAACCTTGACCCCTATTTACACGGTCCAGGCCCGGATCGCCCAATGGGGGGGGGAGTCCCAAACTCTGCTCATCTATCGCAACTTACAGACAAGTCGGTTCATCACAGAAGCGGGGACCTCTTATGCGAACAAACATTCTGCATGGTTCGCATTCTTGCGTCGCCTTGCCCACCCATTTGATGATCCTCCTTCCTATTACCAAGATAAAGTACGGATAGCGCGCCTGGAGCTATTCAAGGCGACAAGGCTTTGGGGCTGAAGAACGAATGAAGCTGCGAGATGCACACGCTAGACATTGTCCCCACTTCCATAATCCAATTTCTCCTGATTCTTGGCCGCTTTGCTGGTTTTGGGATCGCGCCGGCGTCGAGCAAAAAAAATCAAAGGCGTCTTCGCCTGCCAGGCAGTCCACACCCCGGACCGTTGTTATTATTTATTATTGTTATTATTATCATCATCATTGTAGACGACGGGGGGTGTGCTCCTCTTTGTAATTTCATTTTTGGCCACTTCCTTTTCTTTGCCACTTCCCCCAAAATCTGACACCCACCCCTGGTTTAAGAAGCTTCTGCGCCTGATTTCTTCCTCCCTTCCACTCTCTCACACTCTTTTCTCCCCCAAACAACTTTTCGAAACAGACCTTCGTTTTTTCTACCCTGCTCCTCGTTCCCTCTGCCAAAAAAGCTTCTTCAAATAATTCTCACAATGAAGTACTCATTCGCTGCCGCCGCTCTCGCCCTGGCCACTGGCGTCGTCGCCAAGCCGCAAATCACAAACTCGGCCGCGATTAACCCCCAGGAGGGCAAGCCCTTCACGCTCGAGCTCTCTGGCTGCACCGGCGGCTGCACCGTGTACCTGATGCAGGGTGCCAAGGACAGGCAGGTTCCCGTCAAGGTCCTCGACTGTACGTTTTCCCTCTCTCTGTTGACCCTTTTGTCTCGCATCGCGCGCGCGCTCTCTCTCACTCGATTGGGAGACCGCAATTGGAAATCTCACGACTAACTCCGTTTTCATAGCGTCCGCCACCAGCTCCGCCAGTATCACCCTCAGCGACGTTGGCTCCGGCAGCTACAGCCTCCGCGTCTCCGACAACTCCGTTCCCGCAACCGCCGCTGACGACAACGCCAACAACGACTACACCGGCATCTTCCAGTACTCCGGCACTGGCCCTACTTCGTTCCCGCCTCTGTCCGGCTCGGCCACGGCCACGGCCACGGCCACCTCGAGCAGCGCCAGCGCTTCCTCCTCTAGCGCCAGCAGCGCCGATTCGTCATCTTCTTCGGCCACCACCACCGACTCTTCCTCTTCCTCCTCTTCTTCCGCTTCGTCTGCCTCCTCCACGTCGTCGGCCACGTCCGCCTCGTCGTCTTCGTCGGCCTCCAGCTCCTCCAGCGCTTCCAGCAGGAGCTCCTCTACCAGCTCCAGCAGTAAGTCCCGCCTCCGTACCCTCCGTACCCATTACACCTGCGACGACGTAACTAACCACGCAAATTGCAACAGGAACCGCGAGCAGCGCCACTTCCACCCCCACCAGCACCACGCCTCCCAGCGCCGGTAACATGGTTGCCCTCTCGCCCCTTGGCCTGATTGGTGCCGCCGCCGCTGCCCTCTTCCTGTAGATTATACAAGGCAAAGCATCGTGATGCCATGGCTATTGATGATCCCGGGCCTGCCAAACGAGGTTGGGTAGGAGGAGTTTTGTTTCTCGAATCAACGTTCTGCATTGTACATTTGTACCTTGACGGCATCAAGGCTGGGTGTAGTACCCTCTGGGCCGATACCATGCAAGCTATACTCTTTTTGATAATTTTAATAAAGTGTTAATCAAAGCGCTTGCTCAAGCTCATACATGCTACCACTAGTAAATACTTGGCTCCTTCTACATATAACGTACCTGTCGCACAAACATGGGGCATATTGTAACACCAGCGAGCGGACCTAGCCCTGCAGTAGGCACCTCGAGCTCATCTGCCAACACAAGGCGATCCCAGGGGCTCTCGGCCGGTTGATCGCCATACCCTAATAGTCTCTCCGACCTCTCGTTTCTTGGATTCTCGCCATGTGTTGCTCCCTGCTCGAGCTCGGCGATGGAGGCGTCGGTTACGCCCCACGTCGGTACGCCTTTACGCTCGCGCACAGTGACGGTGACAAAATCTCCACGTCGGCCTGTATTGAACACCCGTACTCTGTGGCACCACATCCCTGGGATGCAAGATGCCTCCAGGAACACGATCCCTCCCCAGTTATATGGGGTCTGATCGCGGCAAAGCATCATCACCGCAAACTTTGGGAACGGCGCAAGAGGCAATGAACCAAGCGCCAATATGGTAGACAAGGAACCATATTTACTGCTTTGACCGTAATCCGCGGGTCTTTCTGACGATTTGGCGAGGCGCATATCGTCGCGTGGCTCACCCCAGCGATGTGGTACGGCAATAAGACCATTCAAATGCATGGTGCGCCAGAACAATGTCTGTGACCTCGGATTACGGCTCGGGCGCTGGAGTGGAATAGCAAGGCACGTTTTGGAGTCCATGCCTTCCACCTTTGCGTCTAGTAGCAAAAGACACGTAGTTTCGGAGCTATAGAGGACCGGGGCTCGTATATGAATTCCGACATTGGTTACTGAATATTCCAAGGGCAACAAGGCGGGACTTTCGAGATACTCATCACCCATGTCGCGAGTATTGAATCGCTTGATACATTTCCCGGAGTTGCTAAACGCCGCAGCGCATGGTGCAAGTGTAGGTACCCATTCTGTATGAGTCAGTTCCTCTGGCCATGTCCAGCAGAATATGGTATGGTCGTGAAAAGACCGGATCAGTTCCTCCTGTAGGCGAGAGAATGCCTTATCCCCTTCGCCATACAACAGTGGCAGGTTAATATCGAATATACCAAACATGCAATATGCCATGTCTTCACGACGCGTCGTCCTTCGTGACGACAGCCACGACATGCGTTGGGCAATACTGGCCGCACGTATTTCATCTCCGCACCGGAGAACCCGCTTGGGTATCGAGGTGACGCGGGAAAGTGCGTCGAGGCAAAGCTTCTTGTCGGTCATGTGCGTCCAATCCTTGTCATAGAAATGAAGAAGCTCGGGAGCCAAGAGCTCCTGCAATGTCCAACCCCGTGTAAACCACCGCGAGGATTGAAAACTGGTAGTAAAGTCGGCAGTTGCCGGGTCGAACTTGACATCTTGCAGGTATGCAAAGCACGCTTGGGCGTTGCGATACCAGTTGAACATGCTGTTTATTGCTTCTGAGAGCTCTGCCGAGCTTGACTTGTCGATACAATTGGTATCGACCCATGCGTAGTTTAAGTGGTGCTCGCTAGTCAGTCGACAGGCTGACAGAATCTTTTGATAGCCAGATTTGGAGGAGATGGATGGCTCCTCTCGATGAGACCATTCCTGCAAAGTCACCTCTTCGGAAGTCCAGGTGTGGGATAGGATGGCATATTTCGGCACATTGTCACCGAAGAACTCCTCAATGTCGAGAGATTCGACATTGATGAGGCGCATGCTGGTGCCAGAAGCTCCGACTGAAGCTGGTTACAACAAGTCTGATGCACAGACGCAGGAATGGCAGGCGCAAAGCGAAGTGAATTTGGCGGGCGCCGAATACAACTCTAGGTAGTGTCCATGGACTTCTCGCGTCACGAGGCTGGCCGTTTGATTAAGCGGGGTCGCTGGATGGTGGAGGGTGTCGATAGCGGGGACAATCTTGATCACAGCATCAGGCACAAGATAGCGCACGGTGCATACATCGGATTCGTAAGGCGCCATACGTGAAAATATATCGGAACCGGCCATGTTGGGCTGTTTGTATATTGTTCCTGGTACGATCGAACGCGGCGCTATATGCGAGGGATGAGCATTTTGGTGACGCACAACTATCTGTTTTCACGAGGCAAAGACGGTAGGCGCGATTCCCGGTCACAGACAGAAGTCATCTTGCCGCGCGGCTGAAATGAGACCGTAGACAAAGGTTACAGTCCCTCTGTGACCTCATGGAGACTTAGCAAGCGTGAACGTAGCGTGCAACTATCTGGACATTCGGTCATATTTGATTGGCAGATTGCGTATCGTGTGGTCGAGCGGCTTGATACCGGGGTTCATGCTAGTAATGTGATTGTCGACACCTGGCTGCTGCTGCTGCTGCTGCTGCTGCTGCTCTCATATTGCCGTTAATCAGTGAGATCGACGGGACGGACCTCGCCTCACGTGGTACAGATGCTCTGAAGCTCGGAGACTACCACGCAGCTCGGGCACCTTACCTATTTTCAAAGTGCAGCCAGCGACATGAAGCGGATACAGAGATTTGATTCACTGAGCCACAGTGTTGCTGTGGCTGAAGCTGTTACAGTGGCTAGAGCCCATACGAGCTTTTAGCGCCCAAGACTGTCTGCACCACGAAAAGTTGGTGCCCCACCATTCAGCTACCTCTGCATCCAGGTACTTTGGAAGGTTTTTGCTGGTTATTTGGTGGCACCGTTCGAAACCTGTTTGGGTTTCCTCTGAGAAGTCCCAGCAGCAATTGCTATTAAAATGGTGATGGCATGTCCAAATACAATCCAAAGTCCACTGTAAAATTTTAGAGATAAGAGTCGCAGCCGACAAATGGTTCCGTTGGCTCCACCAAACAAGACGTCCAAGCAAAGGTACCTAGAAGGAGCGAGAAAAAAACAGCTGCCCGCCTGTTCCTGATTACCGGAGCTTAGCTTGGTGCGCTTGGTTGACCTGAGCGCCCAAAATCCAAGCTACTCCGCCCCAAAGTCGTCACCACCCTGGCCTCTTGTCTTCTTCCTCCTCTTCCATCCTCCGTTAGCATCCCACCATCTTTTCGGTAGCCTGGCCGCACGATTTTCCACGACCGCATCGTTATCATCTGATATAGCATCGCATTGCATACTCTTGCTCAAGGCTTCTGGTCTCTCTATTTTCCCCTTTCCTTGTCGACCGGTTGCAGCCGCCGAGCGAGCCTGGGACCGAGGATAGCACAAGCCAAGCCTCACCCACCGCCGCCACTTCCATCGACAATACGACGCCCAGCTACCGTCCGCCCATCGACTACCAAAAACACGCCGAGTGCAGAAGCTCAAAATGCCTGCTCCCGGTTCCGATGCTCCCCTTCAGGAGCGCCTGCTCGCGCTCGCGCAAACCCTCCAGTGTAAGCACATGTTCAACCCGATGCCTCCCAGCCACCCGCTAATCCTTCGTCGCAGTTGCCTGGTTCGCTGGGTACGTTGACTTTTCTGCCTTAACACCTGAGTTGAAGCATACGCCGTTCGCCCATATATGGCTCTAAATTTGCAGACTCGGCATCATGCGCCGCAATCCTCATCCACACCGCTAACCAAGTTCCAGCCACCTCACCCTCATCATCACCACTCTCCGCTACAGCTTCTCCTGGCTGCGCATGAACTACTATGGCGGTATGGCTGTCTTCTGTTACCGCACCTCATTTGTTGCTGCCGCCCTCACCTACGGCATTGTTGTCTACAAGACCCAGAAGTCTCGCGCAAAGACTGGCACCCAGCTGCCCGGCGGCGTCATCGGCCTCCTTGGCGATGAGAATATCCAGTACCTCTGTACGTAATCGGCTTGACGAAGCCTACTCGTCTGATCTTTTCGGCTAACATGACCAGTGATGGCCCTCGTCTGGCTCATTGCTCCCCAGTACCCTCTCGCGCTCATCCCCTACTGCGTCTATTCCACCTTCAATGCTGCCACCTACGTCCGCGCCAACCTGCTGCCAGTCATCAGCCCTGCGCCTCCTGCCGCCGATGGCGCCTCGCCTCGTAAGACGTCCAGCCCACTGGCTGACCGAATTGGCGCCTTCGTCAAGGAATACTACGACTCATCCATGTCTGTGGTATCGGGCCTTGAGGTTCTGCTCTGGTTCCGCATCGTTCTGTCCGCCATTCTCTTCCAGCGCCGCTCCTGGATCCTTCTCGGCCTCTACACTACGTTTCTCCGCGCCCGCTACGCCCAGAACAGCCATGTTCAGACTACCTTTGGCCAGCTCGCCGTTCGCGTCGACTCTCTCGTGTCCGCCCAGGGCACCCCTCCCGTGGCCCGTCAGATCTGGGACAGCGTCAAGAACTACACCCGTCAGTTCCGCGATGCCACCGAGCTGAGCCGCTACACTGGCGGTGCCGGTCCTGCTAAGAAGACCTCCTAGGCAACTTGAGCGCGACGCAATGGCGACGACTACTCGACTCTGATTAGGCTTGAGCGTTGGCGAGCACTGCGCAACATTACGACACGGATGCTGGTGATTGACCGGGATTGCGATCCTGGCCGCGAAGAGCTTCTACAGTGTCGCCAACACGGCTGCCTCATCAGCAGTCAGCCTACGGTGAAAAGCAAGATGGAACCGGTTTGATGATTAAATCGACGCTGCACGGGGTCAATGATATTTTTATGGTTCACAGTTCTGGGTCCTCAGGGCAAGACACAGTTTTTTTTTCTGTTTGATGGAAACGGTACACCACATAGAGACTCGACGTCCTGGGTGAAGAGGTGAAGCATAGGCATGTAGGCGGCGGCCTACTTGCCCACCACCTTTGTGACAGCGGTAGATGTTGATGATCAGAGGGAAAGAAGAAAAGAAAGGTATGCAGTGGATACTCTTGTATTCGTAAATGACTTGTTCATGAATTAAATTTTCTTTTTACATGTTGATTCCGTCCTTGACCGTCATGTTCAGTGATTATCTAGCGGAGTGCGTTTCCACGTCTGGGCGACATGTCTAGAGTTGGCCATTAGGTATGCGGCTTTCGACCTCGACCTTCCACCTCCTTTCTCTCCCTGATTTTCCATTTTTACCCCCTTCGCTCGTGTCCTTGCTATCGTCCCTTCTCAATTTTTTTCTTCCTTTCCTTGCTTGCTTGATGTTCGGTGTCTTTTGCCAAACCCCACCTCACGACCAGCAGAATCGGCCAGTTCGCAAATGCCCCTTGGCCATGGTCGCAGTTTTTGCCAAACGAGGCACAGGATGCCTATTGCACTTGGTGATGCCTGCCATCTATTGCATGGGCTTGTGCTTTCGTTGGCGTTGTTACTGTTTGACAACTTTGCACTATTGACGTTATCTGCCTGTCGAATATAACTACCGTTGACCGTGACTACTTTTGGACTGCGTTTGCAGGCGGCCCCAACAGCCGTCTTTCACAAAATCGCACCCCCATATCCAAACAGAAACTCTGATCTTTCATGTTCCTTTGACCGGAAATGCCATCATGCTCGGAACGCTCCCGAACGAGCCTATCCGGTCGATTTGAAGCAGTGTTCCTCTGCCAGGAACTGCAAATCATTTTGCGCTATCGCCCAGCTGCTACGACGGGTTTTCGCACCTGGTACAGTGCATCCTCCGACTGCTTCACTCGCTTGGTGTCCTCGGCCGTCTTGGACGATTTTGCAGCCATACGTCGCGCGGCGCCTTTTACATATTCAGATTTGAAGGGGGTAATTTTTGTAGAAGAAAAACATGCCGACGTTTCTGGACCAGTACTTTGGCAATGGGTCCAACATTTCGACTACCAGGGCTGATCTACTGGAGACGTATTCGACTACATGCTAATGGTCTACGTTATCGACGACTACGTAAGGAAAGGAGCACAGGACAGGAATTCATACCAACTTTGCGAGTCTCATCTTCAGACTGCTTCTCAAGACAGTGGAGCTCCGACAAGAGATGTTTTCATAAACTGCTATTCCGGTGACTCTAAGTTCGAGAGCCCATCACTGACGAAACCGCGCGCTGCTATCGTGGCTTTCTCGGACCGGTACTGCAGACCCGCGTCTTTCGGCATAGTCACCGCTTCTCTGACGTGCTGGGCTTCGAGCGCGATCGATTTGATCTTTTCCTGCGGCGCATGCCGCCTTGGCCTGCTGAGGGGCTGACGTACATGCACCAGCCCTATATGCATGGCGTCGGGAAGTCACTCAAGATATCAATGATTTGCGACAAGTCTGACGACCCCTTGCGGCACTTCGGCACTGAATCACCCCATGAGCCCTGTAATTTATCGAGACGCAATTGGGTGACGTACCTCGACGAGTTACCGTTCCGTGGCGTCAACTTCCTCCAAGATATTCTCGTCACTTAAGGAGGAAGCCGGTGACCCGGCCGGTGACTAGTTGTCAGTACGTCAGAAAATGAAGAGCAGCGGACGGAGGAAGCCCGGCTGCAGTTCATTGTATCAGCCCCCCCCCAATGTTGCGCAGTTGCAGGAGAAACAAGTTTCGGTGTCGAGAGGACAATGAAGACGTGGTAGGTTCGAGTCTAGGCTCCCCGCAAGTATGGAGACAAGCTCAAAGCAATTTTTTAGTAGCGGAGAATTGCCGACACGAGTCGTCCCGTCTCGAGATTGTTGCATTGCATCCCACTACTGCAGATATCTTACTAGTTTTGCGTCAACATCAAATAAACTGAACGCCACGTGTAGATCAAAACTGCAACACAGTCAGCTGAGGTGGCGGGGCAGCTCGGAGGCAACCCTCCTGTCAATGGCGACGAGCCGCGAATGCCACAGCCAAAAATTGTTAAGGTTACGAATGTGCTTGACGATGCTAGTGGAGCCCCTGCTTCCGCCCCCAGATTGATCACAGCTGGCATCATTCCCCCTTCCCTCATCAGCCACGATCATCTTTTCTTGGTTTGAAAGTGGAGTGTCCGTGACGGAAAGTCACCGCAGCCACATCCAGCGGCGACCACCAATTGGTCGCTTCGAACAGGCACGGCACGACGACCAGTACCGAAAACGCCAAAAGCCACTGGCAGTCATTCGGCACTCGATCAAGGCCTTTTTCGAGCGCAATAGTTTGGCTCTTGCCTCTTGCTCCTTTACCAAGGCAAGCTTACCTTGACTCGCGATTTCGCCTCCTGCACGACTTCAATGACGTCAATAGACGTCAATAGACTGAGCAGGTTGCATTCTCTACGAGAGCCGGCGGTCTTAGCTCGACAAAAAGTCCCCGTCAGAAGGAAGACTCGGCATCCCTACCACATGGCAAGCGTGCGAGTCCTAATATAATCGTTGAGCTTCTTTCCTGCCGATGGTCCGTTCCGATGACCGAATTGTGAAAGGTGATTTGGTGCAAGGGGGGTGGGAGGAGCCAGATTCAAGATCTATCGCCATGGCGCTCACCAAGAAAGGGTCGAGACTTGCGGCGAGTGCGTGATGACCGCGCTGAGCATGGTCAATGCCAAAAGCTCCTGAGCTCCTCCTCAGCCTCCTCCCCATCAGCCTCGATGCAGGAGACAAGCCGTAGCATCAAAGAAGCAAAGATTTGCTGGGGATGCCACGATGCAACCCCGGGTTAGCGTGCCAATACGAATAGACACTATCGTGCTGAGGCTGTCAAGCTGCTTACTCAAATTGGGGGCGGCGGCTTGACCAAGGCAGAGCGGCGCTCGAGGGTTGACACGCGCCTCACGAGGTCTGCGTGCCGGCTTTCACCTTCATGTCATCGTTGCAGATGAGTAGGAGAAGGGGAAACAAGGAAGAGGAAGGGTAAGGAAGGGACGGAACTATCCTGTGCAATCTCGTCCGTGACCAAACGCAGGCTGTCCAACGCAAAACCTGGCAACAGCATCTCTGTCAGTGGCGTTGAACTGGGGCAATAAGTCAGGATTCTGGGACGAGGTCTAGATGGCGGCTCCGCTCAATCCTCAGCTCGCATCGTTTGTGAACTGATCAGCACCATGAGAGATGCTCCAATCTGCGGCACAAATAACATTCTACCAGATGAAGCTGAGTCGATGGGGCGTGACATCCTGGCCAACCAATGCCATCAAAGAGTCTATGTTACATGGCTTGCACGAGTATCAATCACTTCTGTCCTAGGCAATTGTTATCTGACGTCCATGACTTGGGCAGAGGCGAAAGACGGGCTTCCAAGGGGCCACGAAAACTATATAAAGCATGCGTTTCCGTCAACGATACCTACCTACCACCTCTTCATCACTCACTCATCTTACAATCTCAAAACATACCAGCTTCCCAAAACACAACTTACATACCTCCTTACACTTTCAAAATGAAGTTCTCCCTTGCTACTATTGCACTGGCTGCCGCTGTTGCTGCCTCCCCCACCAACCCTCCCGCTGGAGCCGGCAACTGCAATGTCAAAGGCAAAACCGGAAACGTTACTTGCTGCAATTCTGCCATTCCGATCCTTGGTCAGCTTGCCTGCAATGTCCTTGCCAGCGGCACTTGCAACTCCGGCCAGACAGCCTACTGCTGCGACACCGGTGGTAATACGGTAAGTCAACGTCCTGAACTCTGATTTTACATTTCGCACAATACTGACAACTTGATTAGGGTCTCATCAATGTTATTGCTCTCAACTGCGTCAAGCTCCTCTAAATGATCGACCATGAACGATGGAGCGACAAGCCATGTCCGATTGGCGTACAGTAGACTGGCATCTAAGTCGAGCACACAGGGGGTGACGGCTCTTGGCACCACTTGATAGTCAAATTGGCGAGACATAAATACACAGCTGTCCAAGCTCTATGAAACATCGAGTTCAATTAAACAGATATGCAGCGATTACTGTGGTCCACGTGATTAAACCGCCTGAAGAAATCAAAGTCAAGGGCTCGTGCTGTAAACACCTGAAGAAATTGACAATCAAACTCGTGTTGTAAATAGATGAGTCAAGGGGGATAATTGTGCTGCTTGGTTTTTATTCAGGATTATATACTAGTCTTATGGATCAAGACCCGACAGGCTAGAAGCTCAGTGTCGTTTTTGTCTCGGTCTGAATTCCGTATTTGTTTTAGCTCCTTCTTTTTTCTCGAGCCTTGTCTTGTAGTAGTAGCGGCTGATAACACCGAATCAGGTTCACCCGGTGGCTAGGTTACTCTCAAGCATACAAGTCTTGCGACAATGTAGCGCTGCGCATGAGGTCCAAAGGTGATGGCTCTACGAGATATGTGGCTCAGAGCTCCGAGCCCAAGGGTCGTTTTTTTTTTTTCAGAATCTTCCAGGCAGCCTGAACCTGGAATTTGGGCTTCTGCAAGGAAATTAACAGTGTTCTCGTCTGAATTGCTGATGCTCATAATATCTCTGGAGCATTGTTCCTGGACTAGACAGTGTGCTGAACCTGAGGACATGTTCAAGAATCCTCAAGTCTGATTACCACATTCCACGGTCACGATTTAAGAGACGGCTCACGGCACAAGTAAGTTGAGTGATTGAAGAAGGAATGTATATTTGAAATAAAAAAATACATTTCTACCATCTAATTGTGATGTTGTACTTGAAAATGCTAGAGTATAATTAGTGGAGTGGGCAGGGCACAATAAGTATAAGTACCTGCTTGGCTCCAGGAATAACAGACAACCTGGTTAGCGAAATACCTAAAAGTCGTGGTCTGAGCCTAGAATACCGTTGTATATTGCTTAATTAGCATGCGACCAAGGCACAGCCGCTTCGCTAAAAAGGTCCAACGCGCCCGCATCATCCACCCGTCCCTTATAGCGGAGGGATCCAGGTACTTGGCTGGAGGCCGCCGATCGCGCCTGGACACAAGTACCCCTCCCCGTATCTGTGACGTCGATGATGGCTGACCAGTTTGTGCTCTTGACAACCACGGGACGGGGCCGGGAATTCATCAACGGTCAACCCGATAGTCATCAATCTTGCATTCAGTTTACGAAGAAGGATACAATCAAGCCACCTTTACCGAGACTCAGACTCGACAGCTAGGCGCCACGACCGTGGAGTTGTTTAATCTCCCACAAGCTTTTGGGCGCTAAAGCAGGTTTACATCCTTACAAGTATTCTGCCAGGTTTTTGTACTCGGTCCTTCCTGTAAATATTTGATACGAAACTTCTGAGGAACTGTCTCGATGGCTTCCTTCTTGCGGCAGCTCGTCGCCGGCCCGCGCAGGGGCCACTCAGAGGCCGGCCTCGATCTCTGCTATGTGACTGACCACATCATCGCTACGTACGTCCTCAAACTCGCCTATACCTCCTCTCCCTCTCCCCATGGTCCAAGATCACCTTGACTGACGACTTGACAGCTCCGGCCCCTCGCACACATACCCCAAGCTCGCCTACCGCAACCCACTCGACCAGCTCGTCACCTTTCTCGACGCCAAGCACGGCGCCGACTGGGCCATTTGGGAGTTTCGCGCCGAGGGCACCGGCTACCCGGACCACCTCGTCTACGACCGCATCCGGCACTACCCGTTCCCGGACCACCACCCGCCGCCGTTTTCCCTGATGCCGCGCATCCTCGCCAGCATGCGCCACTGGCTGCACGGCGGGGCGCTCGACGGCGTCGGCGGCAGCGTCACGGAGAAGAGGCACCCGGATCGCGTCGTCGTGGTGCACTGCAAGGCGGGCAAGGGCCGCAGCGGCACCGCGAGCGTCAGCTACCTCGTCGCGGAGGAGGGCTGGCGTGCGGAGGACGCGCTGGCGAGGTTCACGGAGCGCCGCATGCGGCCCATGTTTGGCGCGGGCGTCTCGATACCCTCGCAGCTGCGGTGGGTGCGCTACGTGGATCGCTGGACAAGGCACGGGAAGCGGTACGCGGACAGGCCGATTGAGATTCTCGAGATTCACACGTGGGGCTTGCGCAACGGCGTCAAGCTCGACGTCGAGGGCTTCGCCGAGGACGGGAAAAGGATTTGCTCGCTGCACACGTTTCAGAAAAAGGAGCGGCAGGTCGTGCAGGGCGGTGCGCCCGCAGACGGCGGCCTCTCGGACCTCGTCTGGGAAATGGCCGGCTACTCCTCGGGTACCAAGGCGCCGGCGCAGGCCGAATTTGCAGACGCCACCAACAACGAGGACACTGCCACTGCAAAGCCCGCCAACAAGAAGGAGGAGGAAGCGGCGGCGGCGGCGGCGGACTTGAAGCCGCCGACAAAGTCCAAGACGGACCTCATCACCGAACAGCCCACGCAAGAGTCCACCGCGTCCGCCTCGCGCGCCTCGACCTTTTCCACCTCGTCAAAGCTGTCCAGCGCCAGCAGCCGCAAGAGCGAGGCCGAACCAGGCGGCATGGCTGTCCTCTTCCGCCCCGCGACGCCCATCCGTGTCCCCACCAGCGACGTCTGCGTCGCCGTCGAGCGGCGCAACCGCACCCACAAGAGCATCGGCTTGACCATGGTGTCGTCTGTCGCGCACGTCTGGTTCAACGCTTTTTTCGAGGGCAACGGTCCAGAGCAAGGCGGATCGCCAGACGCCGACGGCGTCTTTACGATTGAGTGGGACGCCATGGACGGCATCAAGGGCACGAGCCGCAAGGGCAGCCGCTGTTTAGACAAGATGTCGGTCGTGTGGCGGTTTGCGGATACCGGTGTCAGCAGCAGTGGTGATGGTGGTGGTGGTGGTGGTGGTGGTGATATTGTTGGGGCAGCAGAGCCGGCGGCACTGGATACTACAACAGCGGGACCGGACGACATGGAGGAAAAGGACATTGGTCTGCGCGTGCAGAGCCCCGCGAGCGCGGATATAAGCAGGGCGAGCAGCGTGCTGAGCGCCGAGCTGCCGCGGCATCACAAAAAGGGGCCGGCGAGCAACGATGCTGACGACGTGGTGGCGCTGGAGAGCGTCAAGACGAGCGATGCCGCAGGCGAGGAGCTGCGGCCAGAAGCGACAAGGACGTAGCATTACAAAACGTAAACAGTTTTTTTTATAGACATGTACATATACACGCTAGTCATGAAAGCTACATTGTTAACGCACATTAAAAAATACAGCCGTCCTTTTTCATTATTGTACAAATTCCAAAAGGGGGAGTGTGCGAGTGGTGACGATTTCGTCCTGTTCCATACTGCCCGCTAGTGGTGACGATTTCGACCTCTTTGATACCGGTCACCGCCGCGATGTCCTCCGTACGGCTCCCCTCTCCGATCGCCGCGGCCTCTGTGCCCACCGCCGCGGTAACCGCCGCCGCCACCACGGCCACCACCATGCCCTCCTCCTGGCCCTCGTCCACCCCCGCCGCCGCCCTCACGACCGTCTCGCGGGCCGCGCGGCTGCTCCGGCGGTGGTGGCGGCGGCGGCGGTACCGGCTCCTCAACCTCAATCTCGTACTCCTCGTACTCCTCCTTGAAGTGCACCGCCACGGCGTCCTGTTCCGTCTTGGCCGCTTCGGGGTCAAACACGAAGCGCATCGTGCCGTCCTGGCCGCGCGCCGACCTGCGCACCGACGAGTCGCCGCCCGGCCACGCAGCCGTCGTCGCTGGCGTTGACGTCGTTGGAGTTGTGGCCGCGGGCGTCGCGGGCGCGGGCGCGTCGATTTCGCACTTTTGGCAGTGAAACAGATACCGCGGCGCGTACGACGCGTCGAGGTCCTTGTTAAGTTGAATCTTGATGTCGATGAAGCGCGCGAGGTCGAAGCGCGCGCCGAGTTTTGTCGCCTTGTGGTGCTGGACGTAGAGGTCGAGCAGATCGAGCATCGTCTCCATGACGGGCGCGCGGGCGTACTGCCTGCGCTGGGCGGCAAACGCCTCGACGCGGCCGAGCATCTCGCCGCCTCCGCCGTTGCTGCTGCTGCTGCTGCTGCTGCTGCTATTGTCGGTGAGGCGCGCGGTGAGCTCGACGACGGCCATGGCCATGGAAAAGGTGGTGCGCTTGACGGGCACAAACGTCTTGTACATATCGATGCACATGGCGTACGCGGTGGCGTAAAAGGCTCGCGCGGCCTCGTTGGACGCGCCGAGGATGCTGCGCACAATCTTGACGAGCAGCTTCTGCGGGTACCGCGTGCGAAAGTCGAAGCCAATCGTCTCGAGGATGAGGCGCTCCAAGCCGATGATAATTTTGCCGTTTTGGTCAAACATCTAAGACGACGACTAAATTCAGTTTATTCCGTCATTGTGAAGGGGGGGAACTGGGATGTGCGACTCGTCATACCTTGTCGTCGGTCGGTGCAGGCTTGTCAGGGTTTTTGACGGCGTAGGCGGCGGCCAGAATATCTTTGGATTTTTTAATCGTGTCTTCGACCTTGCACGCAACAAACAGTGACGCGAGGGCCGCGTCCTGGCAGTTGTACTCTGCGTCGCGAAAGTTGAGTCGGAATTTGTGGAAGTAGATGCAGGCGGTATCAAACGTTCGAACGGGCCTGGTGTAGGCGGAGCAAGACCAGGTTAGTAACAGCGCTGAACAGGACACAAGGCTTTCTAATCGGGGTTAGGAGCATACAGTTTGAGGTGCTCTCGCACATTCTCAATCAGCTGGACACCCTGTAGGCGGTAGTTATCCTCGCGCGCGGGATCGCAGCCGTTGTTGCGGAACATGCGCCGGATGCGCGTCTCTGACGAGTACTGGTTGGAGCTGGAGATGAAGCCCGGGTGCGGACCAACTTTGGGCTTGGCCGAGGCGCTGCCATTGACCGGCGTCGTCGGCGCAGCAGCAGGTTGTGTCATGGCTGGTGTGTGTCGTGGGGAAGATATCTTGCTCGGTTTGGAGTTGGGGGCTGTCGGACCCCGTTTGGGCGGCGATGCGCTGGCGTGTCCAGGGGGGGCAAGGGCGTACTTATTGGGGTATCATGTCGTAATTAAATGAGGTAAGAATCTTGTAGCGAACTTTGGCGTTGATGTGGTCGGCGGTCGCTTGGCCAGAAAAGTCGTAATGATGATGTTGAGGGTCTCGAGTTGAAGGAAGCTGGAAAGAGGCAACTTTTGATGTGGATCCGCTGTCGGGAGTGGAGCGTGGGGTCCGGAGCTTGGGCGTGTAAGTCGGCATGTCGGGCAGCGCAATACTATGCAGCTCTGTGAATTGTATTTTACTGATCTTTTTAGTATAAATTCAGACTTTCTTGAATATCCACTATTTCTAGAAATTATTGCTTCTATCCTGCTAGCCATGATTGGACCAGGTAGGTCGTCACACGCAGTACCCTGCACAAGCACAGCACCAAGGCCAATCAAATGTCTTGACAAGTTGCGGTCATGTTGCACATCTTCGGTGCGCACTTCTATGAGCTATGTATAATCTAGCAGCAAGTGGTAGAGTCGGGGCCGTTGCCGCCAGCCCAGTCAAAGATGATGAACTTTGTAAACTTGATGTTGTTGTTGGAATAGGTCTGGCAGCGGTAGCCAAGGCTCTGTATGCTTGTTAGCAAATCTCTTGCAAATGACGGGGAATCGAATTTTTTCACATACGCTGCAGCCGTTGCAGACACGAACACAGCGGTTGCTGGAGGCACGGAAGTTGTACGAGTTCCAGCTGCCCGACTGGGAGCCCCTGGTTGTTGTCAGTAACTGCATCGGTGGTGGACGGAAGAGACAATCTCTTACATGGAAGTCTAGAAAAAGAGTTAGTTTAATGTGGCCACTGTTCAAGAATAGGTTGCACGTACCTTGGCAGTGCAAGAACCGCCCATGTTGGTTTTGCTGCAAGCCTTCATCTCAACAGCGCTGGCGCAAGCAGCGAGAAAAGCGGTGGCAATGGCAAACTTCATATTGTCAAGAAGCTATGTATCGTGCTAAAGAATCGATGGAAGAAGCGGAAGGGAGGAGTAAGTGGATTGGAAAGTAGAGTGATTGGGATGCTATCAAATGTTCTTCTTTCCACCGGGCTCATCATGCCTATTTATACCCGCGGGCCAGCCCTTTCCACTCAACCGTCGACGCACAACAGCATGACCTCGAGCATACCAAAATACGAGTCTATCTCCAGAGCTGAAAGCGCGCCCCTCTTGAGCTGGCCATGGTGTGGTCCCAGAAACGCATCGGATCATCGCTACTGTTGATGCCCCGGTGCAGCCAAGAAACGAGTCAGCGCTTGGCAGGGCCGAATGCAGATTCAAAGGGCGTGATTGGTGGTCTTAACAATCCAATATGCGAATACCGCCATTCAAGCTCACCATGTGACTTCTTTGCTCTCAACATCTGCTCGTTCACGATGTCGGAGCGGTCTCTCCGCAAAGCGTCGACTAGCACCTAGCATAAAGGGCCCGCCAGAAAGATCGACATTACACTAATGGGGCAAGGTACACAATTATCACAAAACTTCATGATCCAAGATCAGGTAGACTACATATAACACAGCAGGCGGCCCTTACTCCATATCGGTCGACTTTGATTCAACAGATCCAAGCTCCATCATGTCGGGCTGTTTGCCCGTTCTCAGCATTCACTCAACTACCGGACCATCAAAGCGGTAGCTTGGCACATACCTTCGAATCCAATAGATCCATGTTGGAAATGGGGGAGCTGAGAAACCGTCAGTCCACCCGCAATGCAACCTCAGGGATATGCATAATCCAGTGCTCTAAAATCTGCCCCAGCATCTCGACCTTCTTGAAGAGGCATCGCGCTGCATCAAGGCATGACCCCTGCCTTTCGGTGCTCGATTTTGCTTCTTTCACCAAAGGCTTGTGGGGAAGTGTAGTCTTTCAGCCCTTTCTTGGCAGAGGGGTTTATTTGGGACCCCGCATGAGCTCGAGGGGCTCGTCGCACCGCGATGGGCCGTTTCTTTGGGCCGTTTCTTTGGGCCGTTTCTTTGGGCCGTTTCTTTGGGCCGTTTCTTCAGACATGCGGATATAGCCCAGCGCGCCGTAATGTTGATCGGCCAGCGTATCCGCCGTATTGGCCGCTGAGAAGGTCCTCTGTAATTCTGAGAAAGGTCGCTCTACGGCCCCTCTTGATGCCTTGATATCCTTCATCACAAGGGCAACAATGTCTTCGGCAAGTATTAGCGGGGACCGGCCAGGACGAGGTTAGGTTTCGGCGTCTTTGGCAGCCAGGCTACGCTTGAACTAGTTGACAGTAAATCCAGTACGGCATCGTAGTACAGGGTATGGATTTAAGCGCGATCGTCGTGTATAACGTGCTTTGTGTGTAAGCTGACACGTGGCATATTGATTGAAGTTTACTATGAGTGTTGATGAAGGGATTTGAGAGGTTTTTTTTTCTCATTGTCATTGTGAACCGAAGTAAAACTAATGGGCTGAAAAGTGCTTCTATAAATTCGTAATAGAATTGATATACTGGAGACTGCATCGTGGTCCAGACTCTGCCCACCCAAGCTTCGCCGTGTGGCTGCGAGTGGCTGCGAGTGGCTTATTGACCATCTCTTGTATTACGGCAAACGATCTCACATATTACCGCGACTAATCTGGGGGGTTCGGGTAGTTTCGGCGAGAAGGGCAGTCTTGGATGACTGCCTCTCTGATCAATATCTGAACAAATTCGATGGAAACGGGTAAAAGTTTCAAGATACAGTAGCTTTGAGCGCTTCAAACTTTGCACACTAAGAAACGCCATCACCCGTAGTCGAGGCCATGGTTTGCTACCGGCTGAGTTGACTTCAGCCACTGTACACCATTGATGGCCGGCGCGTAATTGAATGCGTCTTTTACACGATTAACCTTAGCCACATGATTAATGATAGAAAGGTTTTGCAGTCCATCAGGCTGCCGCCTGTCGCCACATACAATTAAATCAAGGGTTAAACTCCAAGTCAACGCATATAAAGCGTCTTTAGCCCTCCAACCGAGCAGAACGATTTTCTGGTTTCTGTAGTGCTTCCACACTCACCAAAAACTCGTCGCTCTTTAACTCATCTCCTATGTCTTACAAGTCTTGATTCGTCTTTTTTTTGCCCTCACACAGTCCTTACCTACTCATGCCAACACTCCTTTTGCCACGCTCTGGGTAATTCTATATCGAGATGCAACTAGTGGCTACTCTATATGGCATGCGCACATACGTTTGATGTCATACGTCTCCCGAATGTTTAGCCTGAAAAGAAACATACCATCGAAATCGAAGCCTACGCCTCCAGCATAGCCAAAGCCATCAAACTATGGCACCCTCTCGATAACGAAGAAGCTTACACCTTTGGGTATCAAGATGTACGACAACTCATTGCCGGATTTTCCACTCTATTCAAAGAAAAAAAAAACCCCCCAGACTTTATGAAAATCCACTACGGTCGCATTAACTTTACAACGTAATCTACGACAAAGTCTTGGCTTGTCGTGACGGAGTGTACAAGCCTGAGGAAAAGAAACAAGTCGAAGCTATCGCTGACCAGGATGCGGAACACAATGAAACACATCTCAACTTTGATTCAAAAGGCCTGCTCTTCTGAAAAGTTCAACAGGGCTTCAGAAACCACGGGGGGTCTCTGGAGAACGAGGGTCTACTGCATCAAGGTTATAGAGCTGAAGATGGGCTAGGTATTCTTCATGTCCACTAGATCGGGATGGGGATTCATCAAGAAGCAGCCATTTCGAATATAATAGACGGAAAATCTCCAAGAGGAGATTCTGAAAAAAAAAAAACAAAAAAAAAGAAGGTAAAACAGTTTAGTCAGCTATTTGCAACTTCAATGCAAAGTTTTACCTTCACACTCTTGGCGTAGCCGGCTCATACTGGATAGACCCGGATTTGATGTGACAAAGCGATCTCTCACGGGAACTAGCCACCTCCTTACTTCTCATGTGAAAGACTGAGTGAAAATTCTGCATTTTCAACGGCTTTTGGACGAATGACACCTAGCGCAAGTTTGGCGGTCATAGCGGTATGGGGTCGTGGCCTAATTACTTGGACAGACCAAAGGACTCTTCGGATACTCACCAGTTTTCTCAATCATCAATCGCGAGGAAGATGAGTGACATAGTGTTTTTCGGGTACTGGCACAAGGTTCAAGCTATTGCATTACAAGAGAAGTGAAGTGGTTGATTAGCTAGCACGCTACTATAAATTACAGCTGAAATACCTTTCCCAAGATGCCTTATATTAGCGCTTGCCCATTGGCAAGCATCATCTTCAATTATTTCATGCCACAGGGCCCATGACACTTCATCAATACAACATCTCTACATAAGATTGGCGAAACCAGCCCGCTGGGCCTTCTTGACAAGCGTCTTGACTTCTTGCGAACGAGCGCGCGTGGTCACCATGAGCGCATCGGGAACGTCGATAATGACCAGATCGTCAACACCCAAACAAGCAACAAGACGGCCGGAGCCAGGAACAATGATACCACCAAAGGTCTGTTCAGAAACGACGAGTTCGCTGTCACCAAGAACACGAGGAGCATTGGCCTCGGCGGGAAGCATCTCGGAGAGGGAGGAGAAGTCACCGACATCGTCCCAACCGAAAGTGGCGGGAATGACGGCCACCTTACCCTTAGCAGCAGCCGGCTCAGCAATAGCATTGTCAATGGCAATGGTCTCGAGGGTAGGCCAGACCTCAGCGAGGACGCTGGCACGCTCAACTTCATTGTCCCAGACCTTGGCAATCTTGACCAAACCAGCGTGGAGCTCAGGGCAGTGCTCTAGCACGAGCTCCATGAGGGTAGCAGCGCGGGTGACGAACATACCGGCGTTCCAGCGGTACTCACCGGAGGCGAGGTACTTGGCGGCGGTGCGAGCGTCGGGCTTCTCCTTGAAGGAGCTGACGAGACGGGCGCTAGGAGCAGCGGGGTCGTTGAGAGTCTTTCCGAGCTGGACATAACCGAAGCCGGTGGCGGGGTGAGACGGCGCGATACCAATAGTAACGAGGTAGCCAGACTTTGCCACGTTGGCGGCTTCGCGAACGGCCCCAAGGAAAGCATCTTCGCCGGAGATCATGTGATCAGCAGCAAAGGAACCGATAATGGCATCAGGGTCACGGTCGGCGAGAATGGCGGCGGCGAGACCGATGGCGGCCATGGAGTCCTTGGGACCCGGCTCGGTGAAAAGATTGTCGTTCTCTAGCTGGGGGAGCTGGCCCTTGATGGCCTCGGCGTGAGCAGGACCGGCAACGACAGTCATGCGGGAGGAGCCAGTCAGGGGAACAAGACGGTTCCAGGTGGCCTGCAGCATGGAGCGGCCAGAGAGAGAGACATCGAGCAGGAACTTGGGGTGGTTCTTGCGGGACAGAGGCCAGAGACGGGTGCCGGCACCGCCAGCGGGGATGACGACATAGAAGCCAGGAATCTCATAGGCGGGTGAGGCGGTAGTAAAGAGAGGCTGGTCGCCAGGAGGATTGAAGGTGAGAGTAGAGGTCACGCGGGGGAGAGAGGTGGCAGAGAGGAAAGGCGATGAGGTCTCCAAGGCGGGGGAGGGGTGGGAGAGGCTGAGGTTGCGGTTGTCATATTTGGACTGTGACGGGTCAGTATGGAATGTGCAAGAAGATCAACTTCGAATTGGCAAAGAATGAGGAATCGCTATAACTGGTGATAGATTCGCGACAAGTATTGAACACTCAGCGAGGCCAGACGCATGGGGAATTTCAGAGTGGGGCACCAATATCGAGATAGGAGTAAGGCATCACCTACCACATTGTCCTGGAGGAGACGCTCCATGTTGGCATTCTGGGTGCGCAGAGCAGAGCACTCGTTGCGAAGCTCGGAAAGCTCATTGTTCTATAGCGTGTCAGCTAATCGCAATCATTGACGTTTGCGCGCATAGGGGTGCGCGGCAGTGCGCCAGCGATAGCGACTCCCGACGACCCCTCGACGGCAAAAACATAGTACACAGGGTGCAACCCACCTGCTTCTCGAGAGCGCCCATGACCTGGCTGAGCTGGGCGGCAATGGCGACAAGCGCCGACTCGGATACGGACGCCATGATTAATAAAGTGTTACTGCCGATTCAGATGAAGAGGGTGAAAGAAGTACGAGCTGTAGCGAGAGACGAAGAAGCGAACGGAGCGGGTAAAGAACGTCGTCAGGAGAAGAGAATGCGAGGAGGCAGAGTTAAGTCGAGATGGCGCAGATTATTATTATTAGGGAGCCGAAGCCGCAAAGGTGTCCACTCAGACGTCGTATTAGTGCCCAGGAGGCGCGCTGCAAGGAAATTTGCTACCCTGGTGTTAGTTAACCTTTATTAGGGGACGAGCCTTTTTTCCAAGGGACAGATTGGACACGCTAGCAGGCACGCAGGGTCAGGCGGGCAGCGGCGGGCTGGCGAGGACGGGGTACCCGTAGATGGAGCCAAGGTTGCCTGACTTTGTTCTCTTTCCGGCCAGGGGCGCGACTTGCATTTGAAGAGGGTGGTGGTGACGAAGAGGAAATTGTTCAATATTTTGGGGCTGCACATGAATAGAAAATGAGGGCATCTCGAAAAAAAGAAGATTAATAGGTGTTTTGAAATCAATTCACGTGATTGCGCGTGTTTGCACACACACAGTTGTAAAGCCTCTGCCAACTGCGAACTCCAGTGCAAACACGCTGCCAGCTGTCAGCGAGCCCTCTGTCCCACGCACTCGGCATAAAAGGCTGCCCCACCGCGGCTCTCTTGATGAGCGCCAGCTTTTGTTTACATGCCACACGCCGCCAAGTCTTGATTGTCGAAACCTTTATCCCGATATACGATACCCGACCATCACACCATCTCAAATCGTGTAGCGCTTCGGCCTCTTGTGCTTCGCATGGTCGCATCATCCTCACAATGAGACGCACTACGCCCCAGTCTCGGGAGCGTCCCTCAAGTCGCCAGGCAACAGCTGCGACGGCTTCTTCACGAATGCGCGCGAGCACATCGTCGCTACCTAGTGCACCCCAATTTCTAAGAGTAAGCTTCACGAAATGGGCCTACGCATCCTTCACGCCACAAAGAAACATCTAACCGCCTGTAGCCTGGGTCCTTTCGCGTCAGCAAGCAGTCATCCCACAACCCGCTGACCGGTGCCGAACCGAACCAACGGGCATCGTCCCAGCGCAGCCCCAGCCAAGCCGACTCGACACGGCCGAGCTCTCGCGATAGCATCAAAGAGAACCTCGCGCCGCCCGATGCCGACGAATATGAAAAATACAGGAGAGAGATTGAGTCCCTCAAGGCTGAGATTGGCACGCTGCAGTACCGCATGCAAACAGCCGACTCGGAAAAGGAAATAGCTCTATCGCAACAAAACAACAAGGTTGAGCAGGCAAAAAGGCGAGAGCAGGATGAGTCCCAAAAGCGACAGGTCGCAGAAGCTGCGCAAAGCCGACTAGAGGCATTGCTCGAGGAAATGCGCTCCGAGCTCGATGCCCTGAAAGATGGTGGCGAACAGTCTACCAAGGATATGGAGCGCAAGTATCGTGCTGCACAGGATGAGGCCAATCTCGCCCAAGAGCAGCTGCAGGATCTCATCATTGCCAAAGACGACGCGGAACGAATCAGCAAGAAGAAGCTTGCTGACCTGGAAACGCAGGTAGCTGCACTACAGCGAGCGACCGAGGACTACAGCCACGAAAGCGACGCACGCGAGGAAGTTCTTCAAAGGACCCAAGCCCAGGTCGCGGAGCGTGATGCGCAGGTCGCGGCTCTCGAAGCCGACGTGCTGCGTCTAAAGGCGCAAGCCGGGGACGCAGACACAATGCAGGCCATTAAACGCGAGCTGTCGGAGCAGGTACATCATATTCGTACCCTTGAAAGCACGAATCGTGACCAGCTCTCCGAGCTGAAGCACCTTCGCTCTATCAACAAGGCTGTTGAGGTTGTCGAAGAAGAAAAGAGGTCACTGCAGCGAAAAGTGGAAGCTGCTGAGATGCTCGAGGACGAACTAGCTGAAGCCAGGCTACAGAGACAGCGTCTAGAAGATGAGAGACGCTCATGGACCTCGTATCTCGACAATTCGACAGGCACTGGCGTGGGCGAGTTCGATTCCCCCGAAGCGATGGCACGTGCATTGGCAGAAGAGCGCTATACCACGGCAAGCTATGCCGACCAAGTCGGGACTTTGCGCGGCGAAATAACTGCACTACAAAACACGATTCAATCATTCGAGCAGGAAAGGAAACAACTGCTAGAGGATTTGGAAAGTGCCAGGGTGTCGGCCAACGCCACATCTACAGACAAGTCTCGCATGCGTCTTGAGCGTCAAAAGGCTCTCGCACTCAAGGAGGTTGAATACCTTCGTGCTCAGCTCAAAGCCTTCGATACAGAGGATCAGACCATGCAACCGGAGCAATTTGACGAGGTCCGCGCTAATCGCGTACAAGAACTCGAAGCTTTGGTTGATAACTACAAGACTGAGCTGCAAACCGTTCATGCTCAACTCTCCTCCACAGAACCCGCTCCCGTTGCACCGAGCACACCACAGCCGCACGCGGGATCTAAGCGCCCCCATGCCAGCGATGACAGTAGCGAGCAGCTCGGACAGCTGACGCGCAAAAATCGTAGCTTGCAAGAAGAGCTCACTAGCCTGCAGGCCAAGCTGGCCATGCAAGCCAAGGAGCTCCACGTCAGTCGTGAGCAGCTCACGGCGGCCAAGTCACAAAGTCAGACACGCGTGCTCTCGCTTCGCTCCAACCCGACATCGGACCACGAGGCCATCAAGCGCGCGACGCTCGACGCGCTGCGCAAGGAAAACAAGGACCTCCTCGCCACGCTCAAGTCCAAGCACGGCAAGGCCACGACGGTGGCGTACATTCCCACATCGGTGCTCGGTGCCATGGAGCGCGAAATTGCTGCCGCCAAGGCCGAGACGGCATCGGCGCAAAAGTCGGCGCGCCGCCTCAAGGAGGTCTGGGGCAGCAAGTCGCACGAGTTTAAAGAGGCCATCTTTTCAACGCTCGGCTGGACGGTGACATTTATTCCCAACGGCAAGATGCGCGTCGAGAGCACTTTTTACCCGTCGCAGACGGACGAGCACGAAAACTCGATTGTATTTGATGGAGAGCGCGGCACCATGAAGGTTGGCGGCGGACCCAAGAGCAAGTTTGCGCATCGCATCGCCGACCAGATTAGCTTTTGGGTCCGCGAAAAGGGGTGCATCCCGGGGTTCTTGGCTGCGCTGACGCTCGAGTTTTACGAAGAGTATAATAATGCAAAGGAACAGCAGCAGCAGTAGAAGGAAATGTCACTGCATATATGTACACTGGATACGTCAGGGTTGTGTTTGGAAAATCTGTATCATGCTTTTGTTAACTGGGGACGGGAAATCAAATATCAGCATATTTTGGGGCGTTGAACTCTGTATTTCGAAAGGCGAGACTAACTACCAGGCCATCTCAATACCATGAATCTCAATATAATCAATTGGATGTATAACGATTCTATTTACAAGATTGTTTCTTGATTCTAGAAATTATTCGATACACAACAATGCTTGCATGATACAAATGATGATACGAGAAGGAGGGGGACAAAAGTCCCGAGTCGGGGTTGCTATCAAGTAATGGCGCTCAAAAGGGGGGTTGACAAGAAGATGACAAAAAGGTGTGCGTCTTGCTGGTGCAAAAAAAAAAAAAAAAAAAAAAAAAAAACAGAAAGAAGAAGCAGGGTAAGCAAGGGTTTATCAAGCTGTAGACGGTAATGTAAAGAAGTGATGTGCAAAAAATAAAAAGGCAGAATTAACGACGTGCTGCTGCTCCCATATACAGGTAAAAAAGAATATGAAGTGTTCCCAACGCATACAACCAACAATAACCAGAAAATTGGACAAGGAAAGAAGAAGAAACACCGCCAAGAATGACATTTTTGCATTACTTGCTTTCATATCTGCCGCTGACGAGTTTTTTCGTCAGGGGTACGTCAATCCACGTCTGTGCGCTCTCTTCCGTCGGCGCATCGGCGTCGGCAAACGGATCACTCGCGGCGGCGGCGGCGGTCACTTCTTTACCCTTACCCTTGACATCCTCCACTAGGCGCGCGACCGAGATGCCCGATGCCCCGGCCGGCGCATTTCTGTCAGCAGAGGACACATACTCCCAGCGGACCTCTACGCGTCCGGGCCCGAGTTCCGCGCCGTCACCGCCACCAATCACACGGCAAACCAGCTTTTGCGCGGCGTCTGCGTCTTCAGAGAGAGTCACATCGCCGAGACGCCAGTAGACGAGGTGCTTATCCTTGAGGTGCGTGCCGCTGGGCTTGGTCTGGGCGCCGGACGCGCGGCCCTCGTAGGTGGCGACGACGACGACGTTGTGCAGCGTGAGTGGCCCGCCGTCAGAGGGGAGTGTGCAAGCCGGGTTGCGCCGGTATTGCAGCAGCAGGCCGAGCTTATCGCCTTGAGGCTTCCACACGGGCTTGAGAAGCAGGGGCACGAAGGCGCTGAGCGCCTGCGGATTGTTGGTGTCGTCAGCAAAGACGCGGTAGGAAAACGCCGTCGACGTCTTGGGTATGTGGGTGAGATCGAGAGAAAACTGGTCTGGCTGTTCCACCGATGCATTTTGCACAAAGATGCGATTGGGACCAATCTTTTCTAGACGGGCAAAGTTGTTGATACGAATGGTTTCATGTGCTTAGAACGTTAGTATCACGGATGCAGGTGTAGTGATGTTTGGGATTTGCTTACTCTTGTCGTTGGCGTCGTTGCGATTGTAGGCAAAGGCAATTTCTCCAGCAATTGAAACGTTTTGAATCTCGCCGTCCTCAAAGTGAGCAGATACGGTTTCGATAATGGACGAGTTGAGACCGGGTTCGTGCATGTCTGGGTGTTTAACGTGCGCAAAGTTGCCGAGAGAGGTGCCCGATCGGACAGACTGCGAATCAGAGACAGCAGTGGTGCTTGGCTCCGAGGTCAGAATCGAGGAGGCCGCAATGGGCCTGGGCGGCGGCGGAAGGGAGCCCAGGGAGCTGTCTGAGAGCGCTTCGGGCAGGCCGCCTGCCGGGTTATAAATGGTATTTCTGACGTCCCGGCGGCCGCGAACTGTGCGGGAGCGCTGCGCAGTCGAATTGAGCTTGAGTGTGTTGGCCACGCTGGAGAGGGCAGCCTGCTTCTCGTCCGGATCTTCCTCGGAAATCGGCTGGTTCTGTATGCTCAGCTTGAACGGCTGCTCAGAATCATCGCTGGCAGCTTCTTTCTGCGCCTCGCTAATCGGATCGTCCATGGGCGCTCGGACGGTGAAGCCCTCGGCGTCTTTTTGCGGCGACGAGGCCCGGGCTGCGGGGACTTGTGATGATGGCTCAGCGTAGCCGGTCGAGGTTCCATTGAAGCCGGTCAGGGCCGGTAGAGCGGGTACGTCTGTATCGACATTGGCGAGGCCGTTAGGTCTGTCGCCGCCAGTCTTGGGGCGGATGGGCGAGACGGGTCCATCTTCAGCGAGAGAAGACAGTCTGGACGATTCGTTGAGGTTGCTGGCCGAAGCCCGGGGTGATATGCCACGGCCGCTACTGCCAAGGCGGCCGAAACTAGGAGCACCAGCTTTCTGAGATCCAAGTTGTCCAAAGCCGTGGACACTCTGGCGACGTCTTCCGGCGCCGAGGATGGTCCCGAGTCGTCGAAGCTTGGACTCTAGGTGACGTTAGCAGTGGGGCTCCCTTGTGCATAGCATGAATGGTATTAGAAACGCAATTTTGCATACCTTTTTGAGGTGGCGGTGATGGATTAAAGGAGTCCTCCTCGGGCACTGAGTGCGGAGCAGAGGGGGTAGGGGTGAGGTTGTTGTGGTTGTTCAAAGTAGTTTCGCGATTGATAGAAGACGCTGCAGCTGGAGCTTGGACAGCGTTATTTGCAGCAGGTCCAACCGACGAACGTCGTGTCGAGCTTCTAGTGGGAGCGGCCGGTCGGTCGCCAATGGTGGTTTGAACGAAACCGCGAATCTCCGACTCTGTTTCAATCTCAATGGTAACGGCGAGCGCGTCGCCGGCAATGGTCTGTGTTCGTTGCGCCTGGTCGGACTCGTGCGTCTGGTACTGCGTGAGGACGTCTCGAAGCTGGTTAACGCGTGACTCGTCGAGAGCCTGGAGCGTCTCAAAGACAAAGGGCGCCTGGGAATCCCACTCCTGCTGAGCCATCTCGAGTCTCGTAGAAGCAGCGTCGATTTTCTGGGCGCTGGTCTTGCTGCCCTTTTTGCTCAGCTTGTCAGCCTGGTGGTGGGCGTCCTCAAGGTCCTTGCCGAGATGGGTCAGGTTGGCAGAGATTGTATGGATATTTTGTACGTCGTTTCGCTGCTGGAAGCCACGGAGGGGCAGCTCGACGTCGCGCTCGATGCCGTCGGCGAATTGGTGATGAGATTGGGCGATGCGCTCCACGGCACCGATGATACGAGCCCACGGCGTTTGGAAGGCGCTGCGCCAGCAGGGTTAGCATCAAGATGTAATAAATGTGATGGGTTGGTATTTCAATCGTTGCAGTAACATACCCAAGCTCTGACTGCGCATTGGGGACTCTGAATTGGGCAAGCTTGCGCAGATTGGCGACGTATTGTTCTTCGATGCGACGGCGCTCCTAGACAAGACAGTAGTCAGTATTGCGACGATGAAGACGAAATGATTGTTGCGACACAAAGCGAAACACGCATCGATGCAAGGGAATTGCGATTGAGGCAGTCGTACCTGAAGCCAGTCGGCGATTTCGTTGTTTACCTTGCCGATGCGCTTGACTCGGTCGTTGAGAACCTGTGCAGCCTGATTCGGCTGGAGATGCGGCTAAAGCAAGACAGTCAGCGACACACAAAGGCCAACACTACGAAACCATGCCTTGAGCCATTGCTACAACAGCACAGGAGCCGCGGCAGAGGAAAACAAAACAGCAGACGCACCAGCATGGCCGGGTACTCGGCCCTGGCGAGGTCATCCATTGCGGGGGATTTTCCCTTCTTCTAGGGAGTTGGCTGCGGCGCCCGGCGGCGGCGGGAATACAGATACTTGGTAGATCTAGGGCGTGCAAAGAAAAATAAAAAAAAGAAGGGAGGACGAGGCCGATGAGGCAGACCGAGAAAAGGAGGAGAGTCGCGGCGGGACGACGCTGATGCCCACGGGAAGACGCAGAGAGACGCGGGCTCTTTCTCGGGCTGGTGTGTGCTTGTTATTAGAGTGTCTTGATCATGACGACGGGGTGTTGGAGGTCTGGGGGGCGAGAGAAAGAGCTCTCTTTGGGATGAGGCTAGCAAATTGTGGAGACGTGCTCCTCTAAAGCTTGATGTGAACGGTGGTGCTTCACTTTGGGTCAGTCATGCTTCAATTTATTCACGATTCATCAATTAAGCTTTGATCATGCGCTAGTTCTCGTTAAACTCCTATTTTAATCCATTCTGATGTCGAGCTTTTCTATATTACAGCGAGCCACAACAGCCACATCCATCTCTCAGCGCCTGAAAGCGGCCTGCCGGCCCTCCGAGCTAGCGCTGCCGGGACCGTTAGCAGTATTCCACAGTGCTGTCCAGCAAGCTTTTTTAGCGCATCTACAGCAGCGGCACTTGATCCCTTGCGTTTGTCTCTCACTTAATATTAGCTGAAAAGGCAAATATTACCTCTGAAAAACACAGTACAAACAAAATGTCGTAACATTGCAAGCCATTAAATTTACTTTAATTTAGACAATCATTCGATACCGCCTGTACTATTTCTTGTTGTCGTGATCCCAATGCCCACCCCCACTGCCATTTTGCCAGGTCCGCGCCGCGCAGCCATCATGACATCTTCATCACACCACCATGGCCATCACGCATCACGACTGGCATTCAACCGTCTCTGCCACTGATCGCTATGGCACCGTGCGATCCATGTAAGCCGTCCCGTCTACCTTTCTATGTACTTCCTAACTGACAGCCTTTTTAGCCAAGAAGCACTGCCGGACGGCTCGATGAGCACCGCCATGGCCATTGAGCAGGCCGCGTACACGGATTCAGCATCTCGGGTGAGTCCAGATTCCTACCGGTACTGTACCCTCGCATACTCATAGTCTACGTTCCAAGGACGACTACACTGCCGCATGCCAGGCCGCCATCGCCGCCAGTGCCCCGGCATCCGTCGCCGCCGCTGCCGCAGGTGACGCCTCATCCGCACCCGGCGACACACGCATCGGTCCCTTTTCCAACTGCACACCCATCGCCGACGGCGTCACTTCCACTGTCTACCGCTCCGCCGACGGCGCCACGGCGCTCAAGGTCATTACCGTGCACCACCCGCTGCCGCCGCACGACCCTCAGCGCGAGATTCGCATCCTGCGCCTCCTCCGCCCGCCCTGCATCCCGCTCCTCTCTACCTTTCGCGACCAGTCCCACCAGCAAGTCCTCGCCTTCCCCTACAAGCCGCTCACCCTCGACGCGCTGCTCCTGTCTGCGGCGCCGCACGGAGTAACCCTGCCGCGGACGCACATCAAGGCCATCTTTGCTGACGTGGTCCGCGCGCTCGCGCACATTCACGAGCTGGGCATCATTCACCGCGACGTCAAGCCTTCAGCCGTCCTGCTCGATGCGCCAGGAGGCCCCGCGCACCTGTCCGATTTTGGCACCGCGTGGCACCCGACGCTGTCTGCGGCTGCGGAGCCCGCCGCCGCCAAGATTCTCGACATTGGCACGGGCCCGTACCGCGCGCCCGAGGTGCTCTTTGTGAACAAAGCCTACGGCACAGAGGTGGACGTGTGGGCGCTGGGCGTCATGCTCGCCGAGTGCGTGTCGACGCCGGCGAGGCCGCCGTTTGAGTCGCGCGCCGTGTCCGAGGACGGGAACCAGCTCGGCCTGATCCTGAGCATCTTCAAGACCATGGGCACACCGACGCCGGAGACGTGGCCCGAGGCGCGGGAGTTCCAGGTGTCGCCGTTTGAGATGTGGACCGTCTTTCCGCAGAGGTCCTGGCGGGAAATACTGCCAGACGTTGAGTCGGACTGGCTGGAGATGATTGAGTCGACGGTGCGCTTCAGCAAGCGCGCCACAGCTAAAGAGGTGCGTCCTTATGCCACAGATCTCACAAGTCACGAGCAGTACGCTAACACTGTGCAGCTCTTGCAATACAAGTGCATTGAATAATCTAAATCGTGACGAATCATGTCTATATACTTTTCTCTACCACCACCCCCCAGATCTTTACTGTCGCCTCTTTTGCGTGTCTGCGCCCAAGTAGTCAATCGGGTTTCTGCACAGCGGACACGTGTTCTGGTTGCTGCTCTGGAACCACTTGTACAGACAGGTTCTGTGGAACAGGTTCTTGCACGTCGTGCAGCGCTTGTCCGGCATGCGCTTGTCCGTCGAGATGATGCTGTAGCAAATGGCGCACTCGGATTGGCCCTTGAGCGCGCCGATAATGTTGCGCTTGAACACTTGCAGGCCATCTATAATGTTGCCATTGGAAAAGGTAATGACGCCCTGTGTCGTCATGATCCAGCTCTGCCACTTGCGATCCGTCACGGCTACGCGATTCAGGCTCGAGACGGTCACGCTTTCAATGGGGTAGCTGGCGGGTACCTTGATGACAATCGAGGCCTGCGACTCATCCACCTCGTAGCCGGCCGTCACCTCGCGCGCCGCCTTGGAGACGCGGACTTGCAGCTCCTGCTCGTCCATGGCGGGCGGCTCCTGCGCATCCGCCCACTGTTGCACCTCGTCCAGGTTGTCGCCGATAATCAGCGGCGAATAGTACTTGGTCGTCCACGCCTCGACAGCGATGCGCGTTTGCTTGGACCGGCAGTCAATATACCAGGTACGAAACAGGCCGGGGGTGTACTTGAGAACTAGGTAATACAGATGGACTAGGAGCCACTGCATGCTCTTTTCTTCCGTGTCGGCGTCGGCAAGCGTAATATCGTAGTTGTAAATATGCTCCGACGAGAGGTTCTCCTTGTCCAGATTCAAAGCATGCGCCGCCGAATGACCGAGCACGTCAAATGTAAAGTCGAGCAACGGGCCGACGTAGTTTTCCGTCTTCAGATTCTCGGCAAAGTCATTTCGTACTTTGAATGATGCACCTGAAAATGCGTCAAATACGAGCTTCCATGAAAGAAGATAGCAGCGAATAGCCAGCGGAAATTGCGTGAGACTCTCGTCTGAGTAGCTTTCCAGCGTGGGTGCATCCAGAAGCAGAGAAAGCAGTTCGTCAGGCAGTCGAGCGTCCATCTTATCCAATAGCACGTCCACAGATGCTTGTTCCTGCTGTGCTGGGATCGCTCGGTGCAGTAAACCAAAGGCGGCTGTCTGGATGTCTCGAGATTCGGAAGCAAGCAGAGGGTATATATCTCCTAAATCGGGGATTTGGCGCACCTTGATCTTGCCTACCTCTCTTGACAAAACCGTGGTCACAATCTCAGCCGCAGGGGCATCCACGTCACGGAGAAGCCTCATAAGCTCCACCAGAGCCGCTGGCTTGTCAGCGTCAAGATCCTTGAGCGCGTCCTCCATGTCATCATTTGGCTCTGAAATAGTTTCGAGGACCCGTCCTAGCTTCAGCGACGCATGCACCAGCGGCAGCAGGTCCTCAAGGTCGAATTCGGATTCGTTGCGCCATGTGTCAAGACAAAAAGCGACCGTCTTCTCCCAATACGAGCCGTATACGTCTTTCATGCACGGAAGTAGGCTGGCGAGGGTGCGGCAGATCTCGGTGGAAATCTGTGCATCCAAAAGCTCAGGCTCCTCGAGCCAACTGGTGATCTGACGCACGGCAAACACTATGCGATTGTTTGCAACAGGCAAGCCTCCGGATTCGTACAGCCGAGAGCAGAGAGTGAGAAGCGACAATATCGACTTTGTTCTCTCGCCGTCAGCCGATGCACCGGCCACGTCGCTAACAAGCCGATTGCAAAAAGTACTAATTTGCTTTGACGCCTGCAGAGACTCGCCAAGTCCCGCAAGAATGGCAGCACTGACGAGAACAGTGTCGGAGGTAGACTTGAGATATTCGGATTTGACAAAATGCTCTTCCAGAGAAGTAGATAAGCCTTGCGATTCTGCAGTTGCTTGAAGAACTTCGCTAAGGGCCCGAGAACTGTAAGCAGCGGATGGCGAAAGCGACTTTGACTGCCGAACCAAAAGATTGGCCAGTTCACGAATCAGTTCTGCTTCGGAGTCTCCCTTTCCAGTCACCCACCATTCCTTCTCTGCTGTGTATTTGTTGAGTAGTAATCGTAGAGAGATAATTACGGTGTCCGCTTCACGCATGCTTTCCTCGCTATCGAGGTTGAAGAAAAGACCATTCCTATCCCCGAGCGTGATTTGATCGGAGATGAGCTGGACAGTTATACACTGGAGATATAGAAGCTCAACTAGGAATTGTGAAGGGAGCTTGGTCAGGTCTATGCCCTCGGTGGTCAGCAGTGACAGGTAAATGGCCATTCGTGCGGGAACAGAGCGTCCGCGTCTGTCACGGGGCACGCGAAGGGTCTTTTTGGTAAGAGTGGGAGACGAGGTGGACAAGGTAGTAGCTCCGCCAATGGGGCTGCTGATGGAGAGAACCGGGTTAATGGGCAGATCAAAGAATGGCTTGAGCTGTTCCATCCAAATGTTGGTGCTCGGAAGCAGGTTTTCTAAAGGTACGGCAGTGGAGCTAGCCTCTTTGGCTTGCTTGACCAGAGTTTCGATGCTGCGATTATTAGAAGAAGTCTATAGTAGTGCTATTAGGCACTTACTCGAGTGATTGGGGGGTTGCACGCTCGAGATTGGATAAAATGATGCCGACCGTGGGCAGCTTGCTGTCGGTATGCTGATCCATGAGAGCGCGGACTTTGGCCGCTTTGCCAGCAACAGATGCATTTCCGTCGAGCTCAGACAAGCCAAGCAGAACGGCGACTAACGAGGTATGTAAATCATCATTTTCGGAGAGAAGCTTTGGATCTTCGCTAGCCACGATTGCCAGAATATCCAGAGGTCCCGCGCTAGGCTTCTGTTGCAGCACGTCGATCGCATGTTTGGCAAGTGTCTGAATGTGTTCACTAGAAAAAGTGCCAGAGCTGACAGCTGCTGCCAAAAGACTCTTGCTGCCACCGGTACCGTCTACAGCTGCAGTTGCCTGCTCTAGAACTTGAGCTTGCACTGCTTGATTAGACTGAGCAAGGTCTGCAGCAGCCTTTTGCGAGATAAGGCCGGCCAGAACGTCGTTACGTTTCTCGCCTGGCGTTAGTGAAAGCGTCTCATTTACCCAGGCTCTCCAAGTGGACTTGTACAAGGTGCTGAGATTTTCTATGGAGGATGACAAGTCCAAGCAAGTCAAAAGTATCGCGGCTGAGGATGACTCCACTAACTTGTCCATGTAGTCTTCGGCGGCCGCGAGGAAGAAGTTGGAAATGCGGACGCCAGCATCTCCTGAAAACAGATGAGGCGTAGATCGAAGAGCTTGTTCCAACGTCCTTGCAGCACCAAATGGCTTCATGTTTCGGCTCTCCAGAAGCGATACGCATTGAGAGATAATAGTAAGAGAGGGCTGATCGACTAGTTCTGATGGAATGCCCGACTTGGAGCGCTGATGCAGTTCCTTTGAAAGTTGGAACCAGCGACGGCCTTCTTGCCCAACCTTTTCTTGCGAGCTTTGATATTCTTTCGAAACACTAGGAAGGGAGCCAGACAAGTGCGTGCAAAGCTTTGCACCCAGTCGAGTAAGCTCCTCTCCTACGGCGGTAGCAACTGCGGGAGACGAGGCAGTTGCAGCGCCATAAATATCACCCAAGGTACCTAGACCAATAGATGAGCTGCGGCCCGCAGGGAGATACAAAAAGTTCTCGAGAAGAGGGAATATGTGAGACTTGACCAATTCGCAAGCATCAGTTTCGTTCAAGGACTGGAGCGCTCGTTGGGCAGCATTCGAATAGCATTTCCAAGCGAGCTCCGCGTTGGAGCGAGGCTCTTCTCGGTGCTCGATTCCGGAGCGCAACGAACTTAGCAGCTCAGATTCTGAGTCTAGATTGACGACACTGCGAGGAAGCAGAGACAACAAAGTATCTAAAGACTCCCAGAAAATGGCACGACTGCCCTGTGAACCTTTCGCAATAAATGCATGTAGTCGTGCTGTTGAAGACTTCTTGCTCTTAGTAGAAGCCTCCCAGCTGGCCGGATGATTTTTGGTGAGTTTGGCGAGGGCGAGAATGTACTCGTTTGCAGATCCGACCTGTGAAGTCTTGAGGCCACCAGTAATCATGGCCTGTCTGCACTCTACAGAGTCTGCATAGGATAGCTTGCGATCGAGGCAGGAGACAAGAAGTTGACAAGTGCTTCTTCGCACGGATGGGTCGGCGACTGTGATACTTTTCCAGACAGAGTCACTAGCAAAATACTCGTCGTAGCTATCTCGACAGCGATCCATGTCAGAATCATCCATTCGCTGGAGGAGTCTGAGGACGAGCGATAGACTCGCATTTATGACTCGAAAGTACTTGGCCTCGGCATCTTCTTTTGTTGTGGAACGCTCATCGCTCAAGCTGTCTTGGGTCTCCTGGATAGCCTCTAGAGCAAAAGCCAGGATTTGAGGCTGGCACTTTTTCCAGAAGGCATCCGCCTTTTCAGGACTTGTTAGAAAAGAACCGAGACCATCGCTGGCAGCACGAGCAACGGCACGATCGCGATCATAGAGACCGGCGAGCCATGCGCCGACGACCTTGGGAATATGGCGTTCCATGCGCTTGCGCGCAGACTTGACAAGCTCAAACTGTAATTGATGAGACTGCTCTCTGACACGGCGGGCATTATCGATGGATACGCGGGGGTAAACTTGGGTCTAGTAAAGAGTCAGTTGCTTTCTCGCAGAGATTAAGCGACAATCGGAGGCAAATGGCATGGCGAGGTGTCTTACCCAGACGTCGAGGATGGCATCTTCTACCCCGCCATCCTTGTCGTGGGGGTGAGCCTGGACGTAGGCCAGCAGCTCATCGAGAGCTTTAGTCTTTGTCGTGCTGTCCTTTTTCAGAACGTTCTTCAGAGAGACGACAGTATTGGGGTCCGCAATAGCAGTAAAGGAGGGTGGCTCGGTTAGATATGAGAGGGAGCTGCCCGAACCCTGCCCACCAAAGCCACCGAACCCGGCGCCAAAAGCTGCGCGGCTGCCGCCGGCGGATCGTCCTTGGCTGCGCTTCATGGTGCAGGCTCGCCTCGCGCGTTAGCCAGTGAGTATCGCGAGAGAAGAGGCGATGCGGTCGACGCGGGCAGCAGCAGCGGGAGCTGGAGTGTTGAAAGATTTTGAGATACAGCTTGGTGACGTCGCCACTTGTAGGTAATAAAGCTGTAGAATTGTTAAGTGGGCCCAGGTTCCAGATGGAGTCATACCGATGCGTGGGTTAGCGAGCTAATTGAAGCCTTGACACGAATAAATTGAGGAACCAAATTTGGTCAACAGGAAGGAAATAGTTTCATTCAGGCGGATTATCCGTGGCGAGTCATATCTAGTCTAGCTTTTGTTTGAGATTTCCTCCCCAGCTCCCACCACAAAGAACAGACGACGAGTATAGAAAGATTCGTTGTGATGTGAAGAAAAAAAGAAGGAAGAAAAGAACAAGAAAAAGGAAAAGAAAAATTAAAAGAAAAAGAAAGAATAAAACCATTCCTGAAAGTTAAGCATTTAAGATGATTTTAATGTGTGTTTTCATGTGTGTTTTTGGGTATTATTGTCGTACAGACCGTGTTTGGAACCTTGGTCCAGTTGTTGTTGTAAGGGTGGCATGCCACGAGAGAAGCGCTAAGAAAGTTTTACGAAGCAATTGTTCTGGTTCAAAGCAATCTCCAACGTGTGTGCAATTGAATGATGTTTCTTCAAGTTTCTGTCGTTGCCAGGTCATCAACGATGTGTTTGACAGCGACTGGCACGCAGCGCAACCCGACCTGTGCTGCCCGCCAGCGTGGCGGAAACCACCAAGTTCTAGCAAACGCAACATCACCATTCCTTCACAAATCATCACAAATCTCTCGATATCAGGTTCCTTTCATCACGACGGTTGATTAATTCATCTAGTCAATGACATAGAGCTTTCTTTATTAGATGCTACTCAGCGCAACTCGCTAGCAACGGCTCAGTCGCTTGTCCTGGCACGGTTGGCCCCTCTACACATGGGAAGCAAAGACGCCGACGGACACTTCGGCGAGCTTTCCACAGGCAAGCTAACGTGGAACATGCCAAAGTTTGCCCTCGCGCCGCATCATGCGCCGGTACCCTCCGTTGCGCGTGGGCCCGATTGGTTATCCATGGCTTAATCAAGGGATGATTAATCCACGCAGACACGCGGCACCTCGTACCACTCCATCGATAGGCAGCTCTGGAGAGGTTGCTGCGGCACGATATCCACGATATCCAGGCTGTGCTGCTGCTCCAAATTTAGACACCCTAATTAGCAGCTGTTTTCACACGCGGGCGATTCATTCGTTACCTTCCTCCCGCTTGTCTGTCTGCCGAGCACCTGCAGGATGCAGAACATATTATGTATCGAGGCCGTCACTGCTACGCATCAAATGCGACCCTTGCAATCACCTCGTCAATTTTACGAATACATTCTGGGCAGAACCTTTGACTCTCCTTTGCCCCTTGTCTCGCTCCTCATCAATCGCCCCGGCCAGGAACGCCCCAATCAAGAAGACCCTGTCAACTTATCCGTCCTGCACTAATAAACTCCGCCCGCCCTCTTGTTCCAGAGTTGTGGAGGCCCCCAAAAGCCCCGTATCCGCTGGGGTGCCGGCTCTTGTCCAGAATACCAGATACGAATCCTCTGTCGCTTGATCTGCA